TAAGTAATGATATATGATGGCGAATGATGATAATTATGATGATAATAATTGATAATTTGTTTTATTAAGAATAATGGTAAATGTTGATATGTGATGATTTAGTTTTATAATGATAATTGATAATAATTGATAATTATAGTACATTATTATCCTGATGAAGACCATTAGTGTTTGACCAAAACAGGTTGAAGTTATGTGTAAGCTTAAACCTAATCAGGTGTTCTTGATGTGCTGTTTTACATCCTTTCCTTGTTCACTTAATTATAATACATGTGTATAATTATGATGGTGAATGATGATAATTATGATGATAATAAATGATAATTTAAATAATGATAAATGTTGATAATGTTATGATATATAATGTCTTATGAGAACTGATAATTATAATACATGTATATGAAGATGATGATAAATTATTGCAGATGAAAAATATGATTGAAACCTGGCAAAGTATCACAGAAAAATAACTAAAATTCATAGTAGTTCCTACATTATCATGAACAAATTCTTTACCCAACATGTTATCAAACTTGCTATTTTAAATTGCTATTTGTATGCAATAAAACAGAATTGTGATTTGATATATGAGAAAATATCTGAAATATTTTGTTATAACATAAGTTTTTTTATTTGTTTGTTAATTTGGTGGGATAAACTAATATGACAATTGTACTTAATTGACTTTTTTCTTTGTAAAGTAATGGTGATAGAAATCATATCCAACTATTTTATCCCCTTTACCTGGTGAATTAAACAGATTTGCCTTGCTTTGAATTTGAAATAATTCAGTCAAAGTTTTAAGGATTTAAAAATTTTCAATATCAAAATACTAAAATAAAGCAACCTAAAGAATATGGCCAGGTCAAACTTGTGTAGTCTGACCTGGCTCTATTGCTGTGGCAATATGACTTACATCACTTTCAGTTCAAGGAAGTTATGTGCCTCATATGTACATGTAGTAGTATGCACCTGTCATATAGTTTTTGGTAGATTTTGGTCTCATTAATTTTGTCACAGCCAAAGTTTTCACATTCTATTTAAACAATTTGTATGTTCTAAAATTTGAATTAATTATTTTTTTTGTGAATTTCAGTTTATTTACTTTTTGTAAGATATATATTAGATATCTATTTGATGCTAAAATAACAGAAGTTTCATTGTATTGATGTTAAATAATGTAATCTTTTGTGTAAAAGCATTCTAATTACAGACTTCTTTGTTCTACATGAAAGACAGCCAGTGATGAAGTAATTAGTTTTCTGGAGACAATATTTGAACAGATTGTATGAATACAGAAACAGAGAAACTTCACATGTTTTAATAGTACCCTGTGACTCCCCTTTAGATCGCCCTGTTCTCTAGAATGATGATTTAGATAATGACACTAATGTTTCATTAGCCAGTCATTTCCCAAAAGTCTTTATACAAAACTTTGAAGCATTATGTTATAAATGTTGATGCTAATTTTTCCCTTGCCACACTAAATATTTTAAACAGATTTGTCCAATTCTTTCAGTCTGGACAAAACCATTCATTATTTCTTTTAGGAAAAATTTCAAAATAGATGTAAGTACTAACTGAAGAAAAACAAAGTTGATTGCAATATGTTGTGTTCTTGGTCTGCACTGGTTGCATGGGTACATTTCTGCCATCAGATACTAACATATGGTTATTATCTTGTGATTTGTTCATATCATTCCTTTGTTGAAATTTTAAACTTAAACCTACCAAATTTGAATAATGGATTTACCCTGCTTTAGATTTGGAGCAGCTCATTCAAAGTTTAAGGAATTTCAAGATTCAAAAAATGAAGTACCAACAGTATAGTGCCTTGACTTACAGACTTCACAGAAGCTAATGCAGGCTGGCCATGCTCTATACTGGTGGCACTTTTAAGATAAGCAGTTTTGCTTCCAGCTGGTCTTTTGATTAATTGACTTAAAATGGGGAAATTATTGATGAAATGTATGGACATAATGTATATAGTAAATTGTTGACTAAATATATTTGGTGAAATTATTGACGTAATGTATTATGGGGAAATTATTTACTTAATGTATAATTATATACTATTAGATAAATTGTTGGCTAAATGTTATGTTTGGAAATTAATGTCTTTATGTATATACATTTAGGGAAATTGTTGACTAAATGTATGTGGGGAAATTGTTGGCTACATGTATGTTGGGAAATTGTTGACTAAATGTATGTGGGGAAATTGTTGACTAAATGTATGTGGGGAAATTGTTGACTTAATGTTTATGGTGGGAAATTGTTAACTTAACATATACCAGGAAAATTGTTGACTTATTGTATTGAATTGTATGTGGGGAAATTGTTGACTTATGTATGTGGGGAAATTATTGTCTTATGTATGTGGGGAAAATTAATGACTAAATGTGCCAGTTAAGCTTGAACGTTCATGGTGACTGTTTCCAAACAACAAAAATAAAGGTCAATATCATTATGTTTGGTAAATTCATGAATATTAGCATCAATTGTGAAACATGACTAAAGAGATGTCATAAAATTTATATAATTGTACACCAAAGACAGTGAAGTGCCTGAAGTTACATACAAAGTTATTAGTGGCCATGGATTTCCTATAATGTCATTAATCATTATATTATATTGTATAGGATATGATTGGCTAGAGAGATAGTATAGCTGTAATCATGTATTGTTGCTCTCCTCTACAGGAGATAAGACATTATAGTGTGGCCACCAATACAATTAGCTTCTATTGAAGGCCATTTAGACACTAATCAATGTAATTTGTCTCAATTCTTCCTCTTCTAATGACACTATATTAGATTAATTAGGTCTTTTTTTCGAGTAAGAATATGAAGTGTTTCAGTTAATTTAAAAAATCTGAAAGAGAGATGTTACAGTAGGGAAGTAAAAGCTTCATTTTAAAATGACATTTATTTGTCTCCAGCGAAACAAAGAGAGTACTTCTTACACTTTAAACTACGGCTATGTGACTGAAAGCTAGAATTTATAATAGGCATTGCTGCTGATTTTTGACTTCAATCAGGTTATTGACACACTAAATTTTGTAAGAATCAAAATATTATAATTAGACTCACTTTCTTTGACCATCACTAAAAGAAAAATCTGTGAACTTTTTTTTAAATGTTTGTTGATGATTCAAACTTGCAACTATGCAGTTTTGTTGTACTTGTAACCACTAGAACATCAGGCCATATTTATGGAATAAAGTACTGAGAAATATACTTTTATTCAAACTTAAAGCATAAGTCATAATAAAATATGATTACTAACAAAAAACCTTCTGAAAATCAATCAGTCTCCGGTTAAATTATTGTCAAACAATATAAAATTTTGACAGGATATATAAATGGACCAGCACAAAACATAGCAGCCAGGGCTATATTGATAACAACAGTTTATAATCTCATTACGGTACCTTTTATTTGATGGAAAAAGATAATCAATCTATAAACAGCAGCCATGTATATGTATTTGTAAATGTTACAAATATCCAATTAAAACATGAAATATTGTAATATATTGTTTGCTTATGGGATAAATGGGAAAATATTATTGGCCTAATGAGATCCGTCTGACACTAGGGGTTATTTATGATACAGCAAATTCTTTTTATTTACCGTTTAAAACTAAGAAAATAAGGAAAATAAACAATGAGGAAACATTAATCTTTTTCAATTACTGTTGGTTGGCTTTGTGATAAATGACTAGGGATATTTGTTTATTTTTCCTATAGTTGTTTAAGCTTTAAGGAAGAAATTATCTCTAGTTCTCCCAGAGCTGTCAAAGTTTCTTAAAACAAGGAAAAGGAAGTAAACATCATTATATATTTGCAATACACAGTGGAATTTTCTTAATATTTCCATGAAATAGAGCAATCCATTTCAATCTTTACTTTCAAAACCCATTAGATTATTCACATAGTCAAACAATCCCTCAAAGGTTTAAGTAGACATTCATGCAATGTAATATGCCTCTGCATAAAAATTTAACAGCATTCAGAAAATAATATTCAGACTTTTTATGCAGAAAAACCTCCGTCAATAAAGTAACTAAACACTTTAAAACAGAAAACAAAAAGATGTGCAAGTAATAGATATACCATTGCTGCGTTGACGATTTTTGGGTTTGCGTAAATTATACCATAATCACGTGACCTTTCTTATGCCTTAACCTCACGAGACGAAGTCGGGTGAGGTTGCATAAGAAAGGTCACGTGATTATGGTATAATTTACGCAAACCCAGAAATCGTCAACGCACCAATGGTGTATCTGTTTTAACCTATAGCTCCGCCCAGAAACACTTACTCCTTCGATCTTCAAAACTGAAAATTATACCATAGTCTGGGTATGGTATAATTTACGGTTATTGGAAATTATACTTGGAAGAATTTTACATAAGAAGCGCTGAAGAGCTATAGGTTAAAAAGATAATAAAGAACCTAGAATCAAATTAAATATAACATAATAACATGATTGATTTTTGTTGAAAAGCATTTCAAATACAAAATGTGTAGATATTCTAGAAAAAAAACAGAGTGAGCAATAATGTGAAATTTTGCACAAATACCTACATTTTATATCAAATGGTAAATTAATCTCCAAAAATATTTCCAGACCATCTTGACAAAAAAACCTAAGTGGAGTTCCTGAAATATTGCTTCAGTTTTGAACATGCATTTCCTGTAAAATTTCAACTTATTATGAGGACAAATGTTATGAAATATTTCATTACAAGGGAAAAAAAGAACATCCAAAAGGCTTTAAGAAGTAGGATGAAATTAATGCCTTTCTTGTTGTTTATTAGCTTAAAAAATAATCAATACATCTATTTTTATGTACTAAATGTTTGTACATGTACATTACAGCTATATTTTACAGTACATGCTGTTGTAGAAAACTCATTTCAGGTATTGAACAGAGAAAACAAAGTGATATAAAAAAAGAGTAATTGTTGTTTATTTATTTATTTATTTATTTTACAGTTTTGACAACACTGCTGCTGATAGGTGTGACGTTTTGTATTATGTTGATTTTGCGTGCACAGCAAATTGGCTCCATGTTTAATTTTGGCTCCATGTTTAATCTATCAACTTTATCCAAGAAGTCTTTGTACTTCCTGTCTGGACAGTATGATGTTGCCCAGCACACAAAGGTCACATGGAACTGGGAGGAGCCGCAAACTGTCGGCAAGATGATGACCTTTAGTATTAGGGTAAGTGTGAAATATGATTCAGATCTGTGGTCAGCTTTGTTGACATAAAAAACAAGCCCCCCACTGCTGGAGGTTCCGATCTTGCCAGTGTCTTTAGATTCTTTCATGTAAGGAAGCTATCCAGCGAGCTTATGGAATGTCAGTGGTTCTACTCAGCTGCCCATTTGTGCCTGAAATAATGCATGACAGGACATCTTAACATTAATTTTGCTATGTAAAATCAAACAAAAAAAATTGTATTGGTGAAGGAAGATTTTTAGTTGGATCTTACTCACACAAAAAGTTCCTGATTGATTTAAATCTAGAAAGCAAGTAATTCAATTATTCATATTACAGGATTAGTTTTGTATTGTGGGCTTAAGTGTAATTTTTAGCTTACTTATATGTTTTTTCTTTCCCTAAGAAACATATTGTGGTATGATACTGTCCATCTGGTTGTCTGTAGACAATTGGTTTCTACAGGATAAATTTTGAAGAATTTCATTGATTGTGTTTATAAATGGCATATGACCATGTTTATCAAGAAACAGGTCAAGTTTAATTTTCAGTGCAATCAATCAATTATTAACAAAGTTATGTTTCTTAAATTAGAAAACAGGTAAGTTCAATTATCTTCTATCTGCTGAAATGCTGTTACCTCAAAAAAAAAAATAGGCTGTATACTTCTTTTAAATTGCCATTGTGCCCGATGTTGTTAGCAAGATTTAGGGTTTTTATGGCCCAGTGACCCAGTGTGGAGATATAGAATTGCCGTTGTCCATCTCAGTCCTGGTGTCATGCTGTCTACCAATAGGATGACAAATAAAAGAAATGTTGCTGACCTAGATAAAAATTACATACAAATAGAATTGTGATCTGTCAATTGTTGGCATTTGTTATGTGCAACATATGTCACACTTCATTGTATGTGTCATTAAGAACGCTTTCTATGTGTGTTTGCAGCAGACATGTTTTATGGTCAAAACAGTTATATGATTGACTATGTGTCTCTACTACAATAAATATATATGTTCCTATTCCTCTTTATGTATACTTCTTTTATCTCTATGGTATTATAAACAGCACCAGCAGGAATTGTTACATCTGACATTACAAAATTAATGATGAATGGTTATAATTCAATGATGAATGGTTATCATTCATTGTCAATATATTGTTAAAGTCCCTTATAGAAATATTTGACAATCTTAAAGGGACTCAGTCCACTGAGGTTGTGTGACATGATGGGTCTGAAAATAATTTTTTGATATTAATGTTCCATTTGATGTAGGTCTAGACCACTGGCTTGTGTGCAACATTCCAGAATAATTATTTTAATTTTGAAAAATGACCCAAAATTAATTATCTTTTGTATGTCTTCCTGTTTAAAGTGTCCCAACTGATCTATGTAAAAAATTAAAATCTTTTGTTTGAAGACTTTTGAACCTTATTGGAGTTCCTTTAAAATGTCTTTAATCCTCTTTTTTTACCTATCATCTTATAAACATAAGCCCAGTATATAATATATACAGTGTGTCATTCTTCTTTCCTTACTCATTATGTCTTTTTACCACAAAGCAAGTAAAACATTGTGAAGCAATTAACACACTGCAAACAGACTTAAACAGCACTTACAATTCACCTAAATCACTAAAAGGATGTCAAAATATGAAAATATATTCCTTATTGCATTAGTCACACAGTAGAAAAATGGTGTTAAATACTGCAAAATCAGTCATTTGTCACAAAAGACATGTAAATTACTGCTTGAATCTTAAGTTTTGCTCCTTTATACATTTGCATCCCAGACATTTTCCCACTCATTTTCTATATAAAAAAAACAAAAACAAAAAAAACCTAGGATATTTATATTAACTTGAGCTTGAGGAGGGGGCGGGGGGAGTCAAATGTGGACCATTCAATTGAACATAATTTATATAAGATTTATATTGATTCAGGGAGGCAAGAATGATAGTTATGGTCATATCATGAAAATCTTAATGATCGCAAAATAATCATGTCATTGACATGACCAAAGCTTTAAAATCTCATACAAATGTAGATACCGGTATGTCAATATGCCCGTTGTCATTCCGAGTTAACAATTTGAAGTATTTCTCAGTGTCAGTTTTTCATTATTTTGATGAATGAAAATTCAATCTGTGAAAAATTTAGGCATGAAAGCTTAGTGTTTGAAAAAATTATGCTAGAAACATTGATTTGTGAAAGAAGAATGTTCCTAATTCTGACTTCATGTATAAATCGGTATCCGGACAATTCCCCTCCGGGACGATTCCCCTCCCAGTAAATTTGAATGTTTTTTCACAACCCGGACATTTCCCCTCCCGTTATTTTTTTACGGCGGACAATTCCCCTCCCGTTCTTTTATCAACCCGGACAATTCCCCTCCCGTTCTTTTAACAACCCGGACAATTCCCCTCCCGCTGTTGTCAGAGCGGACAATTTCCCTCCCGTGGCTGTTGAATATATATATTATATAATATTGTTTATTTGAAAGGTATATACATTTTTGCAGCGACAAAACAATAAAAGAACAATTGATAAGAACAAAAAAGCAATTAAGCTGTAGATTCTTGCAAAGAATATATTATGCACATGTTATAGTAAATTGAACTGTCATCATCGTCATTATGATTAGAAAATCATATTCACCATATTGAATCAGTACATGAAGTCCTTACACAAAATATCAGCGATCATTTTGATTTTATATATGATTGAACACATTTGTAGGAATATTCTCCTTCATTTTTAATTGGTTTAACTTTTGCAATCAATGACACTTTTAATTAAGGGCGGCAATGATTAAAGATTTTTTATTGACAGTTTGTTTATCTTGTTTATCAATGATTAAAGGCGGTATAATGTCACTTTTGTGAAATAATGATTGTTAAAAGTTCCGATCTTTAACAGTTTATTGTTAAGAGTAAAAACTGTCATCTTTAATAAGAATGGTTATAGATTTTTTTATACGCAATGTGAAAAAACGGGAGGGGAATTGTCCGCTCTGCTAAAAAAATGGGAGGGGAATTGTCCGCTCTGCTAAATTAACGGGAGGGGAAAAGTCCGCCCTATTAAAATAACGGGAGGGGAAATGTCCGGGTTGTGAAAATAATATGGAAGGGGAATCGTCCGGGAGGGGGATTGTCCGGGATTCGTATAAATCTTATCTTGGAAATTTCATTGTTCTATACAAAGTTTTTTCTTATTTGATCTTAGAGAACAAATCAAAGGAAATGTAATTATTTCATTTCTCTAAGATGTTTGTACTTTGTTGTTATTCTAATATATTGCCAACTGATTCAGACTAATCCAAGCTTTTTTCGACATTGATTCCTTGTATGGCCTCTTTTATAATCATTATCAGGAGAAGCTTGTTTTCATGGGAAAATATAACAAAAATATGCAAATAAGTCAATGATATTTTGCCCTAGAATGACAACCAGTGTGAGGAATGAATGATTAATCTTGTCTGTAGCAATAATTTTGGCTTCTTTGTAAGGCTATTATGTGTCAAACTTCTGCAGGGTTTTAGTGTATGACTGTTAATAGCTGGAGAATGTGTGTCTTAACTTGTAAAACTCCTCTGTCAGATTTAGTGTCCACAAATGTTTGTAGTAACAGACTCTATAATAATGTTTTAAGCCTTGGATAGAATAGGAGTGTTTATTGAGAAAAGAACTGTTTGGTCTCCATCTTTTAGAGGATAAGCTTTTTGACTTTGTACCACTGTCCCCTGTTGCAGTTACATGCTGGGTTCCCTTATTAAATTATTATGCCCCCATTTCGAAGAAAAGGGGGTATATTGCTTTGCACTTGTCGGTCCGTCGGTCCGTTGGTCCGTCGGTCCGTAGACCAAATGGTTTCCGAGTGATAACTAAAGAACCCTTAGGCCTAGGAACTTCAAAACCAGTAGATGACCCCTATTGATTTTGGGGTCAAGGGGTCAAAGGTCAAGGTCACATTGACCTTGTAAGCAAAAACGGTTTCCGATCAATAACTAAAGAACCTTAAGGCCTAGGAACTTCAAACTTGGTATGGTGATTGGTCATGATCAGTAGATGACCCCTATTGATTTTGGGGTCAAGGGGTCAAAGGTCAAGGTCACATTGACCTTGTAAGCAAAAACGGTTTCCGATCAATAACTAAAGAACCTTAAGGCCTAGGAACTTCAAACTTGGTATGGTGATTGGTCATGATCAGCAGTTGACCCCTATTGATTTTGGGGTTAAGGGGTCAAAGGTCAAGGTCACATTGACCTTGTAGGTAAAAACGATTTCCGATCAATAACGAAAGAACCCTTAGGCGTAGGAACTTCAAACTTTGTATGGTGATTGGTCATGACGAGCAGATGACCCCTATTGATTTTTGGGTTAAGTGGTCAAAGGTCAAGGTCATATTGACTTTGTAGGTAAAAACGGTTTCCAATCAATAACGAAAGAACCCTTAGGCCTAAGGACTTCAAACTTGGTATGGTGATTGGTCATGGTCAGTAGATGACCCCTATTGATTTTGGGGTCAAGGGGTCAAAGGTCAAGGTCACATTGACCTTTTAGGTAAAAAACGGTTTCCAATCAATAACTAAAGAACCCTTAGGCCTAGGAACTTCAAACTTGGTATGGTGATTTGTCATGACCAGTAGATGACCCTATTGATATTGGGGTTAAGGGGTCAAAGGGCAAGGTCACATTGATCTTGTAGGTAAAAATTCTTTCAAATCAATAACTTAAGAACCCTTTGGCCTAGGAACTTCAAACATGGTATGGTGATTGGTCATGACCAGCAGATAACCTATTGATTTTGGGGTCAAGGGGTCAAAGGTCAAGGTCACATTGACCTTGTATGTTAAAACGGTTTCCGATCAATAAACTAAAAACACTTAGGCCTAGGAACTTCAAACTTTGTATGATGATTGGTCGTGACCAGCAGATGACCCCTATTGAGTTTTGGGTCAAGGGGTCAAAGGTTAAGGTCATGACCAGTAGATACTTGATAACCCTTATTAATTGTTTGATCACCTGGTCAGCAGTCATGCATAATAACCTTATCACATGACTAATTGGCTGCTGATAGGGGGCATACATGTTTTACAAACATATCTTGTTTTATATGATGTTGCATATTCCAGTCTAGCTAGCTGACTGGTTAGTATTTTCCCATAAATTAAGTATGTGACCCGACACCTGCCAGTTATAGTACACAGAAATGCTCTCTGTTGCCCAGTTATGCTGGAATAATAATATCTGTCATATGTTGTGGTTCCGATCTCGGAATATCTGTCCCGAGGGGACCCCACTCATTGTTTCCTTCTAATATGACGTCATTTTAACACAGTTCATTCATAAAATGCGTTAAAATGACGTTGTTGTATGGCACACGACTCATCTGGCACTAAACTTATGCCAGTCTGCTATGCAAAAAAAATCTCTACATGACTTGAACAATCTTGTTTTGTCATGTATGGGAAACATTCTTGCACTGTTTTTTGATTCACTTGGGTTAATATCTGAGGTCACTTTGCTACAAAATTAAAAGTGAAAGGACGAATTTTTAAACAAAATGCATGCCGATATATGATGTGCTTCCATATCCAATTATTCTAGCCTAATCTTACCATCTAATACTCCTAACAAACCTTTCAATGTTGCACTTCATAATTCCCCAGGATTTCTTCATTGGATTTCAATAAAAGATATTGAAAGCGCATGAAATGTAGCAAGATAATTGGTGGTTGTGGTTAATTATATTGGCTGTAAAATGTTACCCTAAAAGCTTCCTATTAAAGCTACACTGTAGAATGCAAATATTCGTGACAGTGTATGGTGATGTACGAGCCACTAGAGACTATTTTGTCTGAGCTATCTCCCTCCATGGTGAGGCCTAGAGAGAGAAAAATTATTCTATAACATTAAATCAATCTATACTGAAGTGTTTAGTTTGTACATGGACAACAGTCCTTAACCCAACGTAATTTGTTTATTTTGTTTGAAGTTCCAGTTTATGTTGTTTCCTTCCTTTTTGTTTTGGTTTGGCTGCTTTTAAGTTCTGTTTTAGTTGACAATAATAATGACAAGATATATAGTAAACTTTACCTCTACCCTGCAGGAACTGACAGTAATTAAACTTAGAAAATATTAAAAATTGCATCCTTAACAATACTTCTTTTACCATTTACCTTTAATTGACATTTTGTGATGTTTGTGAAACTAAGCATGTTTGGCTAACTTGCAATAATATGCTTATAAATTGTATTAGTGAATACTACTTGATTTTTTAGCTCGACTATTCGATAAGAATAGGTAGAGCTATTGTAGTCACCGAGCGTTGGCGTCTGCGTCGGCGTAACCACTTATGTTAAAGTTTTTGTAATACCTCAAATATTTTCAAAGTCAATTGACAAATGGCTTTGAAACTTTGCACACTTGTTCACCATCATGACCTAAACCTATAGACAGGAGGAGGTAACTGTATCGAGCATTTTGACAGAATTATGCCCCTTTTTTGACTTAGAATTTACATTAAAGTTTTTGTAATACCTCAAATATTTTCAAAGTCCATTGACATATGGCTTTGAAACTTTGCACACTTGTTCACCATTATGACCCCAACCTGTAGACAGGAGGAGATAACTGTATCAAGCATTTTGACAGAATTATGCCCCTTTTTCGACTTAGAATTTACATTAAAGTTTTTGTAATACCTCAAATATTTTCAAAGTCCATTGACATATGGCTTTGAAACTTTGCACACTTGTTCACCATCATGACCCCAACCTGTAGACAGGAGGAGGTAACTGTATCAAACATTTTGACAGAATTATGCCCCTTTTTCTACTTAGAATTTACATTAAAGTTTTTGTAATACCTCTAATATTTTCAAAGCCCATTGTCATATGGCTTTGAAACTTTGAACACTTGTTAAACATCATGACCCCAACCTGTAGACAGGAGGAGATAACTGTATCAAGCATTTTGACAGAATTATGCCCCTTTTTTCGACTTAGAACTTACATTTAAGATTGCATGCCACCTCAGATATTTTCATATTCTTTTGACATCTGGCTTTGAAACAAGTTGAAATTTTATACTCTTCTTTGAGAGCATAATAGGACTCTCTTCAAGGCCTATAACTGTAACATGGATTTAAAGAAAAATTTTGCTCTTTTGTTAACTTAGAAAATTTTACATTATCAAGGCTTTTTTTTACTATCAAGCTCTAAGAATAGTCAAGCGTTGCTGTCCTACCGACAGCTCTTGTTTATAATTTTAATAAACTTTACCGAATTCTAAATGTTAGTTTATACAAATATATGTTTGTTTGATTATGTTCTAAGAACTGTAAAGCTTATGGAAACACAGAATCTGTTCCTGTCACAAAACAACTTGCCTCTGATAAGTGGCCCATAATTCTTGTTTGATGCGTTAACCTCTCAGCCATTCTAAATGTTGAAATGTCAGTTTGTCAGATTGTCTTTTATTCCCTAGAATAATCTTTTAGTTGATAATGTTTTACTAAATGATAAATGAAAATATGGTGTAAAAAATTTGGAAATTAATTTTTTCTATTTTTAAACACTTGCACAAAATTTGTTAAGAGAAGCCTAATTTGTTGACTTTATAAGTTCTGATCAAATAGCTCAGGTTCAATAAATCCAGTGAGTTGAAAGGTACTATTTCAAGTGGTTATAAACTGGCAGCAAGTTATTTCCTGTCTGGCTCTCTTAAATATAGACTGGCACATTTTATTTCCTGTCTGTTAAGATTGACTGGTTCTCACAGACTTTTCTCATCCTGATTATACCACTAAAACTGCTTTTTTGTCACTCTTGAACTTTTTGTGAACTTTAAATTTACTGTCATACACTCTGAAGTATCTGTTTAGAAATAAAGGTTAGGGTTAATCAGGTGACCTAGTGGTTTAGGTGTTTGTCTCGAGGCACAAACAAAATTTTACTGTTATAGTTGTGATTAGCTATGTATATTTATAATTATATTCAGTGTACAGAAAAATCACACAAAAATTCGGTAACCCACAGCCAGGACTTGAACAAAGTGTCTCTGGATTGTCGCTCCAGTACAGTGACTGTTGCATTTTCCTTGTGCTAATTGACCATATATATTTAAGTTAGTTTTAACTTTATTGTGACATCATCACTTTCATTACTATAGCAGCAAGCTATTTATAGCTACTTTAACCACTTACGGCTGAATCAGTGAAAAATGTGACTCTGTTGCATCTTTGTGGAATTTGATGTTGTTTTTTTTTTTTCAATTTTCTTAAAATTGATATTAATTATGTATAATTTGTATCATAGTTTGGGGACCTTTCTGTTGAAAATGTGTCAGAGTTAAATTGAATACATATACATGCACAGTGCGTTAACTGGAGTGCACTGGTATTAGTTACCCGCACTCCAAAGCATGCCCATTGATTGGCTCATTTTTTCTGGGGTTTTCTTATTGTGATGGCAGAAAAATTTAAGATAGCTCGATAGAAATATTATATTCAGATGCTCGTTCATTGGTTACTTTTTTCCTGGGATTTCATATTGTGATAACAGGGAACGTGTTTTTATTTTTGCCCATGATACAAAAGAAAAAGAACATCAGACCTTCTGGTAATCTGATTTATACTCAGGGGCTTAATGCCCCCTCATATAAATCAGATAGCCTTGTATTTCGATGCTCTTTCTATTTCTTACATATATTTATATAATAATTAATTTATGTAATGATTGTCCACATAAGCTTATAAAAGGTGTGATTTTCATGTCAAATTATTGAGATTCTTTAACAATAACAAAATTTGCTCTATAGCAATATAGTAGCAATTAGAGCAAGTACTGTGGGTCACTTTGAACACCAAATTTGCAAGTTGGCTTTCTTAGATTTCAGTATTTATTTTTCAACAATAGTTTAGTTACAATTTCTCTTTTACCATTTTCTTAACTTCTCATTTGAATTAATAATGTCAAAGAAGTACATGACTGAAATACTGCAACAAACTGACACTTAGTTAGAAAATCAAACGCAGACATCTGATTATTACGAACAAAGTTACAACATTATATTTTTGTGATGTATGGTAGATACTGTGAATGATGAATATAAAAATAATATTTTGTCCATATGTTAATAATGATGATGTATGAGGGCCAGACATAACTGACTGATGGACAGTGAAAGTTCTTGCCAAGCCTCTGTCACAATAAAACCATGCAGACCTTCCCTATGATCTGCATGGTGACAGACAGCTTGCATGTTTTATTACTTATACAAATATTTAGATATTTTCATATTTTCCAATCAATAATATTTCATGTTTGCAGTTACTGATGATGCAGGCAAAAATTTGATTTAATCCATGAAAATCTTGAAATATTGCCAGTGTTTTTTGTAACAGTTTTCATGCTTGTTTCTTTGCTTGTAATCTACAATATTCAGATAAATTCGCATTTCGGAAAGCAGAGCTCTCTTTGTTGAAAATATGAGAGGATTTTGATAAAGAAAATCTTGTACTGGAATTAATTTACAATTCAGGAAATATTTAATTAAATTCAGGAAAAAATCTTTCTTTTTTAAATTTAACTATTACAGAAAAATTGCATTGATTTTATTTTGTTGCAAGAATTTTTTTTACAAATTTAAATTTTCTTTTTTTTATTTCTTTTATTACAAAATCAAGGTGATATTTTACTGGGATTATAATACTTTCTTATAAATTTTTTTTTATTGGGAAGATGAAATAATGTTTGTAAAGTCTGGTTTTTATGTACCTTTGAAGTAAGGATGGTTAGCAAGATTATACTGGAAATGTTCAGAATTTGTTTATTTTAAAGAGAAGATAGACCCTTAATAGTGAAAATATTGCATCATTTTACATATAATCATCAGGAACAACATTTTTACATTGAACAAAATTGATTTATATTTTATAATTTTTATTTCAGTTCTTTCACAAGAATGGCAAGCCTTACCCTGTTTCTAACAAGGACAATATTACTGTGGAGATAAGTCATGGAGGGTCGGAGGTTACCAAGGCAATGACCTTGGGAGGGTCAAAGGTTGATGAGGTGAATTTAGCGCAAGTGTCTTTTACAGTACATAAATCAGGAGACTATACAGTGTGTGTAATGTTCTCAAGTAGGCATATCAAGGGAAGCCCTTTCACAAAGAAGTTTGAAGCAGGTAAATAAACTTATTTAAAATTACAATTTTCAATTTCTGTTGTAAATATGTGAAAATGATTTTGGGAACCATTATGCATTCAGACATGATATTGATCACAATTATGATATGTTATTAGATTTTTTTCTTCTTCCTCATTTCTTGTATCCCAATAAAAAGGCTGTACATACAGGATAAAAATTGACATGAAAGTTGTGACCTACATTGATTTATAATTCAGTACATAACAAAATCAGATTGAACTAGCTGTGACATTTTTCTAAAGCTTATTCAAGAATAATTATGTGACAACATGCATAGGGCTAAATACCCCTTTTTATCAAGCTAAGAATGAAAATAAAGGCAGATAGATTTTTATTAAGCACAAAATGAGATATGAAAATAACTTGAAAGTTTATAGAGGGCCTCCTTTGCCAACTTGTTAAAGTAACAGACTTCAAATCTTTCATGTGAGGGATCTGTTCTGTTACTATTTGGTAGGTTGCTAATAATGCTCTTATGGGCAAAAATTTGAAAAGTCATCATATAACATTGACAGTGTTCAGTGTGACTTAAACCCTGGTGAACCCTCTTCAATTTGATTTTTTTGTTACTATTCAATGAAATATGACCATTTTGTATTTGAATTCAATGACTTATAGTAGAGAAATATGAGAAATTATGTTTGTGTATACCATAATGCAACTTTGTGTCTGAAAATAAATTGAATTTGTCTGCTGTTTTATCAGCAGATGTGTGGATAATAGGCAATATATATATTTTAAAACAAAGCTGATAACATGTTTATAGAAGTGTCTGTTGTAAAATATCTGGAGAATTATGAATAACATTTTGAAGTGATAGTGTAAAGACTTGTGCCACCAGCCAGGTCAGTCTTCATGTCTGTGTAGTTTGAGCAGACCTTATCTTATTGACTGCTAGATTTGAATACCTAGTATTTTGATCTTAACATCTCTGAAATTACCAATGGATGGACAATTTTAAATTGGAAGCAAGACAAATCTATTTGTAAAATTCAGGAGGGAAAGGGTTTCAGAAAAGCAGTCAATACTTTAAAGAAGCCTGGAAAATTCTTGAGACTGGTCAATAAATTTGATGTGAATTGAAACATTACAAATATTCATGACTAAAAATTTACATTATTAAGTGCAAGCAAAAGGTTTCTACGATTGTTTGAGACTGGAGTTATTTTGTATTGACAACTTGGATAATTTTTAAATATCATTTAAATGGTGTGGAAATTCTGTTTGTTAAATGGCTTTTTATTTTCAAGAAGCCTAAACATAAAAGTATTGTAAAGTTTTTATTTATGTATATACAGTTTACAGTTTACAAGTCTTGTGCTTTGGTGACAATTTCTAAAATATTGAAAATTTCATTTGCGGAAGTTAAAATTCGAAAAATTAATTTATTTTTTTCACGATACAGATAACTGAAATTAAGATTTGTAGTTGAGATTCAATTTCTATAATGATTCTTTTTTTAATCAATATATATATACAGAACTTTAAAATGAGAGACGTGCATGCGAATTTGGTATTTCTGGGAAACAACAACAACAGCTCATTTTGCAATACAGATGGAACATTTAAAACAACAGATTGTTATCTTCAAACAGACTTTTATTCTAATGTTTCTTTGTTATTCTTCAATTAAATTAATTAAATTGATTGCCAAGTAAAATAAAGCATTTAGCTTGGAAATCAGTCCCCATTAAGAATCTTGGAAGCTTGTGTATTGTATTGAAGAATCAATTACAGATGCAATTTCTTCAAATGCTGTGCAGCTCTTCTATAAACAATTTAAAAAGTAAGTGAATTGGTTCCAAAGTGTCTGATACAGGAATATATAAACATAACAATATTTGAGCCGCGTCATGACAAAACCAACATAATGGGTTTGCGACCAGCATGGATCCAGACCAGCCTGCGCATCCAACTTTATTACAAGTAGAGAAACTGATAGCGAACAGCATGGATCCTGATCAGACTGGTTGCAAACGCACTATGTTGGTTTTGTCTTAAAGCGGCTCATTTGTTAAAATGTGTTGTACAGTAATTGCACCAACTATTGTGTATATAGGAATAATATTGAGCAGTATTTAGGGAGAAGTCTCTTGATGGTTTTGGAATAATATGTTTATCATTGTAGAGTACATAGCACTCTTTGACTACAAAATTCCAGAATATTGAACTTTCTGAATTGTGATGCCGAATCTATATATTCTATTCACAAGGACATGTTTCTTGACCTTTTTGGCCTTCGTGTGTTTAAGTCTATGTTGATTTTTTTATTATTTACAGGAACATGCTTTTAGATTTATGTAAATTTGTTTATGATTATTGTATAGACATTTCAAGCTTGATTTTTTCAAACAAAAAATTAGAGCTTTTTATGCTTGGAGACAACAACCCTTTTGAAAAGACCCTTCAAGTAGACTAGAATGAACTTTTCTTTGTCTCTTAAATGACCTGGACCTTCAATGTCAAATGTTTCAATTTTGCTTGATTTTTGCTAAAATTGGTGATACAGTGAAAGTTGTGAAAACAGGACGGCTTTCGGACCGAGGGTTTTGTCCGGTTTTCTCAGCGGTCTGGTTTTCACAATGTTCTCTTCAGGATCATATGTACCATACAATGACTTACATTTAATGCATGTATATTTGCATTTTCATGATTATATATATGTTTATTGCAAAATAAAAACAATGATGAAATATAAAATAACATGTTTATTTATTTTGTCACATTATTGCGTCTTAATTTGAAATATTGAGTTTAAAATGTCCAGCAGTTACCTGATATCGAAAAAGTCTGATTATATCCGCATTTGTTTACTTCTGGGTAATGGATAATGATGTAACGAATACAGATTAAAACGAGCACGTTTAAAATACATGTAATTTGATTATTTACCCAAGAAATATGTTTATTTACAAAATGAAAGATAGTTACGAGGGTTGTCCAAAAAATTCGTGCACTGCAGTTATTGTCGTGAGAGTTATTGATAGAAAAACATTAATTATATATCACTTGAAGGGGAGATATATCTCAATTAAGAAAACAAAAGAAAAAAATGTGTAACCGACATGTCGTGAAAACGAATCGTCATACAGTTACCTTGGTAACGTAATACCGGCGCACGACAAAAAATTGGGTTAGTTCATTACTTTGATGCATCACGGTATTCTTTAAACACTACATAATTATTAACTTTAAAATTCAGGAAAAATTGTGTGTACGTATTCCAAACGTCACTAGAAAATATGACGTCTTTTGCCCTATTGTAACAGTCGTAAACAATCATTTGTGTGTGGTCGTCAATACTGTAATTACGTGAAAATGTAAGTCGCTAAACATCTGGAAATACGGACGATCAATAAATTGGTGCAAATATTGGTAAAACCAACAGATACCTACAAAGAACTTTAAAGGGCAAGCGGGACAAGTTCAGTGTCACGAAGGCTGGTTTTTAAATGACACAAATGCTCTGTAGAAGAGAGAGAGAGAGACGCTAGACGATGACAACCGGTCAGGCCGACGTCCGTCCGTAATGCCGGCGCATGTGACGAGGGTTGTCTAATATATTCCTGCACTGGTGGAATATGTTACATGTACGTTGCATAAAAACAATAAAAACTACATCAATCATTCCTCTATTGACAGTAAAACAAATTATAACATAAAAAGCAAATACCACTTTACAAGCAACAAACAATAAATACAATTACAGTGATGAACTAACCCAATTTTTTGTCGCGCGCCGGTATTTCGTTACTAAGGTAACTCAATGACCATTCTTTTACACGACACGCCGGTTACTCGGCTTTTTCTTTTGTTTTCTTATTTGAAACAGATTTCCCCTTCAAGTGATATATAATTTATTTGTTTTTATTAATAACTCTCACGACAATAACTGCAGTGCACGAATTATTTGGACAACCCTCGTATTCTTTTGTTTTCATTTCGTTGATGTAAAACAGTTTAAGATGCTTGCCGGTGTTTTGGATGACAAGTCACATAGAATGTCCTTTTCAAGCTTAGATTGCGCATTAGAAACGTCATTTAGGATCGAACTGTTTTTGCACATTCCAAAAAGAACAAGTTCATTTAACATTTTTAAAGCCTCTCTGTTTGTCAGATTTAAAGATGGCGTTTCAAGAGAATCATCATCGTCTGTGTCACTATTGTTTACAGGGTCTGGATTTATAGAACAAACTGGGCTGAGAAATGTCTCCTTTCAATCGGGTCCATCATAAATCTCTTCAATAAGCTGCTAGAATAATTTTGGATAAAAGTTTTGATTCCCCATCAAATGAACTATTTAAAGAGCTTAATTGGATGTCCTTTGATCAAAGAATTATGTACAAAAAAAGCTATTCTCATGTATAAATCTATAAATGAGCCATCTTTTCCTAATTATATGAAAAATAAATTCCAAATGATAAATGACAAACACAACTTCAACTTAAGATCTGTTCAAAATGAGAAACTAGTCATACCAAAACCAACAACTGAGTACTTTAGGAAATCATTTGACTATTCTGGTCCTAAAATATGGAATGACATCCAAATTTATATTCGAAATTCAGATACTTTGAAGAAATTTCAAGCCACATATATTAAGTGTCAATTTTCTAATTAAATGAGTGTACATTTTGTTGTAATGATAATGCCACACAAGAATAGAATGTATAATGTTTTGTTTTTACAATATTGTTCTAATCTTACTTGTAGAATAATGTATTTTTCATGCCCAGGTTATGAAAAAGTGGTTTCTTGATGATTGTTTGTTTGTTTGTTTTTGTTTTGTTTTTTGTTTTTTTTTTTTTTCTATTTGTGTATATATGTTATTTAAAATATGTAATTTTTATATTGTTATGTATATGCTATGTATATGCTGAGGCCCGCATGGAAGATCGGGAAACCGAATGTGTTAGCCTCATTAAATAAAGTCGTTACTTACTTACTACTTACTTACTTACTTCAGTTGGAAGAGTATTTTCCACTTTAGATACACTTCTAAAATTGCAGTTTGGAAATGCATCAATAAGTTGTTGAATTGGGATGTCATCATATGGGTCAATTCTGTGTCTAAGTCAGACTCTGTCAGTGTCTTGGTAGTAATAGCATCACGCACAAAGCCCGATTTCTTAAAACAACTCCGTATAGTGTCAACAGCTGTTTCTTGCCAAGATTTGTAAATCCAAGAACATTGACTGATTTTGCAAGTTGTGATGCACTTAGTACAGGGTCCATTTTACACAGTATGTGTCTTAGTAGATACTTCCGGTATGTGCTTTAAAGGCTCTGATAATTCCCATATCTAATGGTTGCAAATTTGAAGTGCAATTTGGAGGAATGAACTTTAGAGTGATGTTGCTAAGTGTGACATCATTGCAGTAAGAAGTAGCATTATCCATGAACAATAAAATATTTCTATTTTTACGACGCATTATCCTGTTCAAGTTTTGTAACCCGTCTTTAAAAAGAGCTGAAGTCATCCAACTTTTCTTGTTTGATTCCCATTGTACAGGTAACTGGGTTTTATCAATGTTTTTAAAACACCTTGTATTTGCACTGTAAATAATAATAATAATAAAAATAATAATAAATATAAAGAAAATTACACCATCGACAATAATTATTATTATACTAACAAATTTGGAAACATATATAATTATTATAATACTAATAACAAATAATTATAATTATATTAACTAATAATATAGTATTTCTTAGAAAACCCTCTGGCAAATAGGTGATCAATAAAACAAAAACCCTCTGGCAGCGAAAGGGTTAATACACAATGTCTTATCTGGCAATATTTTAAAAAACAGCCCCGTTTCATCACAATTAAAAATGTCATTGTCATTGTACGTAGACAGCATATCTGGCAAGCGCAACTTATATTCAGTCGCTACTTCCGGATCTACATCGGCACTTTCACCACAAACTTTTAACCATTGAATGTTGTGGCGATTTCTAAAACTGTTGAGCCAACCATCACTAGCCTTGAAGTCCTCAATTCCAAGGCGCTCGGCAATAGAAGCTGCTTTTTCACAAATTAGCGGACCTGATACAGGGATGTTCTTTCCCCTAGCTTGCTTAAACCATTCAAACGTTTTCTCATTTACATCCGTATATTTGCACTTATAGTTAATCCTTTGCTTCTTTGAACTGCAATTTTGTTCGAATCCTTCTAAATAACTTTGTTTGTGTTTAATAATGTCACCAACTGCAGATTTTCCGATGCCATATTTGTCAGACAATGATTTTAATGTAGGTTTTGGCAAAGTTTTGCCGTCTTTTATTAATCTAACTTTGTCACTTATAGACAGTTCTCGTCGAATTCTTTTTGGCGATGGAATATGGCATGTCGCCGATAAATGTCTTTTCCGTGGCGTTGACATTTTGGAAATGAATATACAAAAGCAACACAGTATAAAAGTTCTCTATTTTTAGCTCGACTATTCGCAGAATAATCCAGCTAATGCAGTCACCCATTTGTCGGCGTCGGCGTCCCTGTGGTTAAGTTTTTGCATGTAAGCTGGTATCTCCATAACTACTGAAGGGAATGGATTGAAACTTCACACACTTGTTCTCTGTGATTATCTAAGATGATTGGCACAAGTCCCATAACTCTGATTTGCTTTTTTACATAATTATGCCCCTTTTTCGACTTAGAAATTCTTGGTTAAGTTTTTGCGTGTAAGCTGGTATCTCCATAACTGCTGAAGGGAATGGATTGAAACTTCACACATTTGTTCCCTGTGATTATCTAAGATGATTGGCACAAGTCCCATAACTCTGATTTGCTTTTTTGCATAATTATGCCCCTTTTTTGACTTAGAAATTCTAGGTAAATTTGTGCTTGTTAGATTATTCTAAGGTATCTCCGTCACTACTGAACGGTTTGTACCTTTTCGGACAATTTTATGTATTCATATAGGTAAGCGTTATTATACTCAATGAAACACCCTTGTAACAATTTTTTGAATAGTCGAGCATTACTGTCCTCCGACAGTTCTTGTTTATTATACCCCCGCACAACAAAGTTGTAAGGGGGGTATACTGGAATCAGCTTGTCCGTCCGGCCGGCTGTCCGTCCGAGCAGACGAGAGCTACATTATGAGGTTTAGGTTTATGTACAGGCACTCTGTATGGGGTTCATTCCGTAGAGACATGTATTATGTGGTTAAAAATGCTCTTATGGGGTTAAAAAATTTGCTCTTGTGGGGTTAAGAGATCAAAGGAATAACCCCACAAACACGTCTGCTAAGTAAGTCCGTCCGGCTGTCCGTCGGTTTTTTCTTGTCCGCCCAATAACTTAAGATTCCTTTGACCCACAGTCTTCATATTTGGCATGGAGGTTAGTCATGATTAGTAGATGACCCCTATTGATTTTGAGGTCACCGGGTCAAAGGTCAAGGTCACAGGGGACTTGACTTCAAAAAGCTTGGCCGCCGAATAACTAAAGATTCCTTTGACCCACAGTCTTCATATTTGGCATGGAGGTTAGTCATGATTAGTAGATGACCCCTATTGATTTTGAGGTCACTGGGTCAAAGGTCAAGGTCACAGGGGCCTTGACTAAAAAAGTTTGTCCGCCCATTAACTTAAGATTCCTTAAATTGACCCACAGTCTTCATATTAGGCATGGAGGTTGATCATGACCATAAGGTGACCCCTATTGATTTTGAGGTCACTGGGTCAAAGGTCACAGGGACCTTGACAAAAAAATAAGTTTTTCCCCTCAATTGCTTAAGAATGCCTGTCCGCAGTGTATTAATTTTGACATTTTCACATTTGAAGCATGTAGAATACATAACTTAGCAATGCACTGGCTTAGTAACGGAAGTTGTCCTTGAGCTCTAAATGGCCACTGTTGATTCTGACAAAGTGGTATGCGGGGGTATTCACGCCATGATAGTGGAAGTTCTAGTTCAAATTATAGCCCTGGGGTCAAAATCGGCCCCGCCCCAGGGGTCATTGATTTTCACTATATGTACATATAGTAAAAACTTAAAATACCTTCTTGTAAAGACCAAAAAGGCCTAGAGCTTAGATATTTTGCATAAGGCATTGTCTGGTAGACCTCTACCCACATTGTTCAAATTATAAAAAAAAATTGTCTGAATGTACAAGGCATAGAGCTTTGATGTTTGCTTTATTATATCATCTATAGGTCCTCTACCAAAGTTGTTCAAATTTTTCCCCTGGTGTCAAAATTGGCCCTGCCCAGGGGCAGTGATTCTCATTATATACACATTATGAGTAAAGACAGAAAATAAAACAAATGTTTTCTGAATGGGAGAAAGCTACAGCTTAGATATTTGACTTGAAATGTTATTTGGTGGACCTGTATCAAGATTTTTTTAATTAAACCCTTGGGTCAAAATTTTGTCTTGCCCAAGGGGACAGTGACCTACTTTCTTGTCCTTTGATGTACAGCAATGAAATTTTGACCATGTGCACAGTTTTAGTTGTAAAATTGAACTTTGATATCAGGTGACCTAGATTTTGATGATGTGACCTACTTTCTTGTCCTTTGATGTACAGCTTTGAAATTTGAACCATGTGCACAGATTAAGATGTAAAGTGAACTTTGATATCAGCTGACCTAGATTTTGACAAAGTGTCTTACTGTGTTGTGCTTTGATGTAGTCATGAAATTTAGACTGTGTGAAATATGACCTTCACCACCAAATTCACTAGACTCAAGTGCATTGATATATTCATACTCTGATCTTTTATTGGATTAACAACAGATTTAACCACTAATCTGACAATAAGAATTAGATAGGTCAGGGATCTATGCATTATGACAATCTTCAATTGTATAGAAACAAAAAAAATCTGTTCTGTAGTGTTGTATTAATGCGGTGGCATAGCATTTTTCTCAAATGCAATCTTGTTAAATAATGTATTCTAGGAGCATTCTTTACTACACATTCTTCCTCTAATGTTATTGACTTAAATTAAGAAATAAAAAAAGTCAAGCTTTGGCCTTGCTAGGTAGTGACTTTTTAGCTCACCTGTCACAAAGTGACAGGGTGAGCTTTTGTGATCGCTTTTCGTCCGGCGTCCGTCCGTAAACTTTTACTTTAAATTACATCTCCTCATAAACCACTAAGCCAATTTCATCCAAACTTCACAGGAATGTTCCTTTGGTGGTCACCTTTAAAAATTGTTCAAAGAATTTAATTCCATGCAGAACTCTGGTTGCCATGGCAACTGAAAGAAAAAACTTCTAAAAATATCTTCTCTTAAAAAACCCCAAAAGCTAGAGCTTAGATATTTGGCATGAAACATCTTCAAATGAGTGTCTACCAAGTTTGTTCAAATAAAAGCCCTGGGGTCAAAATTGGCCCTGCCCCAGGGGGTCTTTGATTTTTCCTATATGCATATAGTAAAAACTTAAAATATCTTCTTTTAAAGAACCCAAAGAGCTACAGCTAAGATATTTAGCATGAAACATCTTAAAGTGAGTGTCTACCAAGTTTGTTCAAATAAAAGCCCTGGGGTCAAAATTGGCCCCGCCCCAGGAGGTCTTTGATTTTCCCTATATGCATATAGTAAAAACTTAAAATATCTTCTTTTAAAGAACCCAAAGAGCTAGAGCTAAGATATTTAGCATGAAACATCTTCTAATGAGTGTCTACCAAGTTTGTTCAAATAAAAGCCCTGGGGTCAAAATTGGCCCCGCCCCAGGGGGTCATTGATTTTCCCTATATGCATATAGTAAAAACTTAAAAAATCTTCTTTGAAAACACCCAAATAGCTAAAGTTTAGATATTAAGCATGAAGCATCTTCTAGTGAGTGTCTACCAAGTTTGTTCAAATAAAAGCCCTTGTGTCAAAATTGGCCCCACCCCAGGGGGTCATTGATTTTCCCTATATGCATATAGTAAATACTTAAAAAATCTTCTTTTAAAGAACTCAAAGAGCTAGAGCTAAGATATTTGGCATGAAACATGTTCGAATTGGTGTGTACCAAGTTTGTTCAAATAAAAGCCCTGGGGTCAAAATTGGCCCCGCCCCGGGGGTCATTGATTTTCCTTATATGTATAAAGCAAAAACTTAAAAAATCTTCTTTGAAAAAACCCAAATAGCTGGAGTTTAGATATTAAGCATGAAACATCTTCTAGTTAGTGTCTACAAAGTTTGTTCAAATAAAAGCCCTGGAGTCAAAATTGGCCCAGCCCCGGGTGTTATTGATTTTCGTTATATTTTTATACAAAAAACTTAAAAATCTTCTTTGAAAAAACCTAAATAGCTAGAGTTTAGATATTAAGCATGAAACATTTTCTGGTAATTGTCTACAAAGTTTGTTCAAATAAAAGCCCTGGGGTCAAAATTGGCCCCGCCCCAGGGGTGTCATTGGTTTTAACTATATGTGTATAGTAAAAACTTAAAAAATCTTCTTTAAAAAAAACCAATGAGCTAGAGCTTAGATGTTTAGCATGAAATATCTTATTATGGGTGTCTACCAAGTTTGTTCAAATAAAAGCCCTTGGGTTAAAATTGGCCCTGCCAAAGGGGGGGGGGGGGGGGCGGAAGGAGGGGGTAGATTGTTGTTTTTCATTATATGTGTGTAGTAAAAACTTAACATCATGAAACATCTTCTAATGGGTGTCTTCCAAGTTTGTTCAAATAAAAGCCCTGGGGTTTAAACTGGCCCCGCTCCTGGTGCCTTTATACAGGTGAGAGACCTCAGGGCCATCATGGCCCTCTTGTTTATTTATTTGTTTGTTCATGTACATTTATGATACATTTTTACTATCATTATATAAAGGTATGTGTATATATCATTAACAGGTCCAATAGATGCTACAAAGACAGGTTTTATGAATTACACATCAACTGTTGTCTGTACACAAGACAATGCCTATCCTCTTACTATAGAAGCCAGGGATTCTTTCGGAAATCTAGCCTCATATAAACCTGATCAAAACAACTATTTCAAGATCAAAGTCACTGAGGTTGGTTGTCTTTTTCATTTTCTTGATTTTAACCCTTTCCCCCATGAGCATATTGTGAAAAATGGCCATTTTCACTGAAAAGCCTCCTCTTACAAGTTCAAACTGCTATGAAACTATGACAAATGCTTCAATACTAATCAAACTTGGCACAAATGTTGACTGGACCATTGCCTTTGTAACGACATGCTCAGTTTTAAATTTCCTGTTACCATGGCAACAAGGGGACATCTCAAAATTGCCAAAAATCACTATTTTGCCTCGATTTTTTCCATCAAAATTTATTTCAAAGTGCTGCAACTTCTCAAGGGATTGAGATAGAGTCAAAGGCTTTTCAGCGTTGGTTACACGTTACCTTATGATCGGCCTGGGGTCATTTTAAGCCTCTCACAAGTCCAAAATTTTCTTGGCGATGAGGGGGACACCGCCCCCCCCCCCCCTTCAAACCCCCCAAACAGAAGGGGGCACATCCCCCTTCTGGCAACCCCCTGATGTATCTTTTGGATGGGGGGCGGTGCCGAAAAAGAGCTCACTTTTTTTAGCAACATTTCTCAAACTAAAACATGTGTTTGGGGCCCAAATAGGACATTTTTTCACTATTTCAGGCCTAAAAAAAGGGGGGGGGGGGTTGAAAGTGCGTTGTTTCGCGTATATATGAGGTAAAGGGTTAATTAGTTATTGTTGATGATGGATTTTTTTTCTGATACATGATTATCTTGAAAATTACCAGCCGTTGGAATATGTTGCGTTGCCAGGAAATTTTATTTTTGCTCTTAAAGTATATTTTTTTGCAAAATGACCTTTTCTTAAGCTATCAATGCCATCTGCTGCAGAATTATTGTTAATAATTTTGATGTTCAGTTAGTAACTAGTTACTGACCTTTAACAGAAGCTAGGCTTGTTTTATGATGCAGCAATACATATTTTAGGCATACTGAGCCTGTAATATCACCAGATTATATGTCAAATTTATCACTCTCTGATCAACATTTAGACAAGGTTTCATATGAATATTATAGTACCAGAAGCTAGACACTCAGACTACAGGTTAAATACCACTAAATGTCAACTGCAGCGATTTCTGTAGATATCTCATGTCATTTGCATTCATTTCTTCCCTAGAACATTGCCATCAAAGCATCATAGTTCCATTTAACCTATACCTTACTGAATTTGTGTAATGGATTTGCCCTGCTTTCAATTTTGATCAGTCCATTTAAAATTAAGGGGATTTCTTTTTTGTTGATACAACAATTGTGTTACCTCCAGTAAAGAGTTAGGTGTGCTTTACACGGGTGGTAACGGCCAAACACAGTGTCAGCAATGAATAAGACATGAAAAGTGTGAGTTTCAAAATTAATTTAAGACTAAAAACTTACTGAATTTAAAATCTTTGTGTTTTCTTTATCTGATTTTGTAGGACATGTACTGTCTTCATGTCATATACATTGGTTATTATCTTGAAGGTTTCTTCTGGTCTCTACATTTATTTCTAGGTTTACACTGACAAAATACAAGCTCATTTGACTATTTTCCTTTTATCTTTAGCCTTTTTTCTTATTCTAAAGAATAGAGTATTGTTATATTATTGTTATATTTGTTTTTTGCTATGTTTGTTTTTCAGTGTGGCACTAGAGTAAAGCATGTACCAACAACACAGATATTTTACAATGCTCGACAAAAGCAGCTGTCCATGCAGATCAAGATGGAAAAAGTGGGTTGTTACCAGGCAACCGTATCCTATGGTGATATTAACTTAAAGAATGGAGATTTTAATATACTAGTTCTTAGCAGTAAGTCTCCTTTTCTTAATATCTATATATATGAACATTATTCAACATCAACATCTATTATACATGTGTATCAACATCTATTATACATGTGTATCTTATATCAATCTTTTCCCTTGGTGGGGGAAGGGGTTGTGATTGGTACACAGTTAAAGCTACAAGACTGTAACATAGATATAATTCTTTACCTTAAGTACAATGAATTAACATTATGACAATACTAGCATATTATAACATACAAACCGGTACCATTGGCCTAGTGGTTAAGGCATCCGCTTAGGATCAGGAGGTCGAAGGTTCGAGCCCCACGGGGAGCGTTAATTCAAGGATGAATGTTTCTCATGGGACTTGTTCCGAAATGGCCGCTTCGTGAGCCGCGAGGTAGTTAAAATGAATGGTAACCGATTTCTATCTGCCTGGCGCCTGGCATAGTGGTAGGAGTTGGGAGGTACATGGTATGCAGCAAAAGGTGTCTCATAAGTCAGAAATGGCTGGCCCTTTCAGTAGGGAGACACTATAATAAACAAGACCTTTACCTTTATTTTTACAATATAAAACTCTATAGCTAAGTAGTTCATGAAAACTATGTATTTCTTGTAAAAATACTTCTAGGGCACTACTGTGAAATAAGTGGTACATGTATATCCAATCACTTAATCAAAATTCAAATTCTTGACAGTTCTGTTACAGTGCTTTTATCCTAGTGAAAAAGCTGACAGTTTGTGAGAAATAAGATGTCAAGTTATATAAATGATTTCAGGCGATGATTTGAGCTATGTGGAGAAGAATATAAACAAGTCACATAATATCTGGTACGAGGCCAGGCTTATAGAGTGTAATAATGAGAAACTCTCTAAACCAAAGAAAGTTTTTATCTATATAACTCCAAAGGTACGTATTTGTATATATACGACATGTATAAATATGATGCTTAAGGATTTTACAGGAATTAAGTTCAAATTAATGTAAAATTATTTGTATTACGTGATATGATTAGGCCAGAAAATGTTGAAATAAAGCAAAGTCATAACATTTAATCCATGAAGGAAGTTCAACAAGTTAAGGGGCCATTACTTATGCAGAATCTTAGAACATTGGTTACATTTACAGCAGATTCCAAAACTTGACAGAAATTTGGAAAACAATAAAGAACACCATGCTAAATATGATAAATTGAACTTGTCCATTTTTCAAGGACAAAACCATTCATCATTTACAGGAAACTTTTCAAATAATTCTGTATTGACTGCATAGCAAACAGTGCAGACCATGATTTGAGGGCAGAACTGTACTAGCTGGTCTTGGTCTGCACTGGTTGCTAGGGTATAATAAGTTGATGCTTAAGCAGGCTTAGAGATAATGTAGAATTAGATATTTGTTTAGCGATCATCTTGTAATGTTTTATCATTATCGATTATTTCATGTTCACATGTTAGAATTTTTTTTCTATCTCAGCATTTTCATGTTTTGTTGTCTTTTAATTTGAAAGATTCCAGATAATTTCTTTTTCTTGGATTATAAAAAAATTAATGTATTGAAAATGTCAGGTTTTACAGGGAGAATTGAATTTGTAATTTAAATAAATAGAATATTTCAGTCAACAACAAAAACCCTTTGAGATTCTAATACAAAACATGCATGCTATAATATAAGGTGCAGCAAGTTCATTTTAAAGTTCATATTTGATTTTGATCACAAGAAGAATTATTGCTAGATATTTTATGAATAAAGATATTTAGTATGAGTTTATAATTATGAATAGTCTCTATGCTTCAATCTTTGACCGAGTGTTAACTTCAGTTTTTGAAAGAGCAGATCATCTTAAAAATAATTCAGCAAAGTAATGTCCCTTTTTAACTAAGACTTCTGTACTGGTTAACCTTTTTGTAATTTAAATAAATAGAATATTTCAGGGTCAATTTTCTCAAAACCTATCTGTTAGTTATTCAATTTAAACTTGATTGATTTGTTCACTTTCAAAAAATAACACAATTTTTAAAGGGCAACTATTTCAAAATTTCATTTTAAAAAGTTATGCCTCTTTCATACTTAAAATACTTTGCTTATGTCTGTCTCTCCAAAACTGTTCAAGATACATCGTGTTCACTTTAAACATGGAGTATTTGTTTGATATAAATGTGAAAGGCATTTCTTAGAGGCATAATATCTTGAAACTCATTTTTGCTCTGTTATTTATACCCCCGCACAACAAAGTTGTAAGGGGGGTATACTGGAATCAGCTTGTCCGTCCGGCTGTCCGTCCGTCCGGCCGTCCGTCCGTCGGTTTTTTCTTGTCCGCCCAATAACTTAAGATTCCTTTGACCCACAGTCTTCATATTTGGCATGGAGGTTAGTCATGATTAGTAGATGACCCCTATTGATTTTGAGGTCACTAGGTCAAAGGTCAAGGTCACAGGGGCCTTGACTTCAAAAAGCTTGTCCGCCCAATAACTTAAGATTCCTTTGACCTACAGTCGTCATATTTGGCATGGAGGTTAGTCATGATTAGTAGATGACCCCTATTGATTTTGAGGTCACTAGGTCAAAGGTCAAGGTCACAGGGGCCTTGACTTCAAAAAGCTTGTCCGCCCTATAACTTCAGATTCCTTTGACCTACAGTCTTCATATTTGGCATGGAGGTTAGTCATGATTAGTAGATGACCCCTATTGACTTTGAGGTCACCAGGTCAAAGGTCAAGGTCACAAGGGCCTTGACTTCAAAAAGCTTGTCTGCCCAATAACTTAAGATTCCTTTGACCCACAGTCTTCATATTTGGCATGGAGGTTAGTCATGATTAATAGATGACCCCTAGCGACTTTGAGGTCACCAGGTCAAAGGTCAAGGTCACAGGGGCCTTGACTTCAAAAAGCTTGTCCGCCCTATAACTTAAGATTCCTTTGACCCACAGTCTTCATATTTGGTATGGAGGTTAGTCATGATTAGTAGATGACGCCTATTGATTTTGAGGTCACCAGGTCAAAGGTCAAGGTCACAGGGACTTTGACTTCAAAAAGTTTGTCTGCCAAATAACTTTAGATTCCTTTGACCCACAGTCTTCATATTTGGCATGGATGTTGATCATGATTAGTAGATGACCCCTTTTGATTTTGAGGTCACTGGATCAAAGGTCAAGGTCATAGGGACTTTGACTTCAAAAAGTTTGTCCACTCATTAACTTAAGATTCCTTTGACCCACAGTCTTCATATTTGGCATGGATGTTGATCATGACTATAAGGTGACCCCTATTGATTTTGAGGTCACTGGGTCAAAGGTCAAGGTCACAGGGACCTTGACAAAAAAAAGCTTTTCTTCTCAATTGCTAAAGAATGTCCTGTCCGCAATGTATTGATTTTGACATTTTCACATTTGAAGCATGTAGAATACATAACTTAGCAATGCACTGGCTTAGTAACCTGAGATTTAGCAGGGAGGTTGTCCTTGAGCTCTAAATGGCCACTGTTGATTCTGACAAAGTGGTATGCGGGGGTATTCACGCCATGATAGTGGCAGTTCTAGTTTCATTTTTTTTTTTTTTATATTGGCTTTTTTGTCAAAAAACATTCAAAGGTATCTTCTTTTTGTTTCCCTTATTATTTTGCCTTTTACAGATGGCCAACAAATAAATTTATTTTTTAACTTAAATGACTTAGGCTTGCAACAGAGTTCAACATAATTTGGATGGTATTTAAAAACTTCATGGAAATGTTTTATGTTGATATTTTCAGCAACTGAAGTTAAAAGAATATTTTCTAAAGATCATAGGGAAGAAATTGTTTACATTCAGAGTGTGTCCTTCAACAAAGGTCAGTAATAATATACATATTTACATTGTTTTTTATGTGCTTGTTTCTTTATTTATAAGATAGATATCAGTCTTGAGTGCATTCTTGTAAAATAGTTTGAATGTGCAGGAATATTATCATGAAGGCTTATAGGCCTGAGTGATTAATTACAAAGCATTTGAACTATAAACTGTCCATTATTATTCTATAATGGAAGAAAAAATATCTATCTCCATTCTAACATGCTAAAAAAAAAGAAAATTGATAAAAATATGTTGAACTACATTGAGCGCAGAAGTGATTTTCCCTTGATGTCATATGGCGTGTAAGCATTTGTTTTCATGCTATGCATATATTGTGCAATAATGCACTGGATCATCCTATTTGTTTGATACGGAAACAGTTTGAAGCATGTTAGAATGTATATTATATGTGCACATTTTCATTGTCTCAAAATTACTATTTTTTTTATGGAGAACATATTGAATAAATTTTATGAAATCTGATGTATTAAAACATACTTCAAATGTATTTTTCTTTTAAAAAAGGAATACTTGCTATAAATTAGATTATGCTTATTAATAGAAGATGTTTTTAATGTTTGTATATATTACATTTCAGTTTGCATTTAGTGGTTTCAGTAACCAGTTAAACAGTCATATATTCACTATAGATGACGGGGCTCAGGCTCCGGTAGTACTAGCTGCTAAAGATAGAAGTGTCATAGCAGCTACATTTACCAAATTTTTACTCCGAAATATAGGTAATTATACATTACAAAATATGTAGTGATGTCATATAATATTAATGTTTGGAAATCTAAGTGAATTCAAGGTGCAAAATGTTAATTGGATATTAAAGGCACATTATGCCTCAGAAAATCCATATTTTTTAATTCTTTAGAAAAGTGAAGCATGTGTAAAATAATATTTTGATAATGATTAAAAGAGCATGTTAGATGTTAAATAAGTGAAAAGATAGCTCTGAACATGCAGTAATGTGTTGAAAAGGTATCAAAATGTAAACAAAGTAGTATTTTGACTTCCATACAAAATATTAATTCACTGTAATTATACCAATTGCCAACTTTACAAAATCAGCATAAGATGAATTATGTATATGGCAAAAGGTTATTTTAAGGGGAACTGTAAAACGATAACTAAAATGAAATAAAAATGTTTTGAAAAATGAAATAAAACTGATAGAATTTCTGAAGCATAATTGGCCTTAAAAGTTAAAATGCTGTTGCTTTGTGGTTTAGTGCAAACATATTTATCTTGTCTTAAGGACGTTTTTGGTAGTTTTCATCTAGACATATAGGCAAAATTAAAACTGTTAAATAGAATTTCTTTAAACTTGGCATGTTGTTAGAATATGATAATAGAAACATTTTAAATGGAAAAAGAATTGGGGTCACAGTTCTCATTTTCAAGTTATCTACCCTTGAAATGGACTTTTTCGTTAAATTCAAGGGCAGATTTTTTAAAATGAAGGGAAACAATACACTTTTTTTCTTATTTTCATGAAGCTTACCTTCGTTTTAGTCGATAGGCAAAATTTCAAGAACGAATTTAGAGTGGATAGTTTTTATTTTCACTTCTTCTTTTAACCTGTGCATTTTTTATTAAAAAAGAGCGGATTTTTTAAGAATTGAAAGTACCTTTATTTTATTGAAAAGAAAAACAACAATATAAGGAATTGCATGTTATTATGTATTGTCCTCAACAATAAAAAGAAAAAAATAATCCAGAAGTAAAAACAAAGATTTCATTTAAGTATGTATAAGTTATCTTGACATGACCTCAAATAAGTAGAAAATTCTGATTCAGGGACAGATAACTCAAAAACGAGAACGGTACCCCTAAATTTTTTTTCGCTTAAAATGTTTCTGTTATCATATTCTAACAACATGCCAAGTTTAAAGAAACTCTATTGAACAGTTTTAATTTTGCCTATATTTATTACTAGTATCCTTTAAAGGAACTTGGTCACAAGAGTATTTAGGACAAACAATTTTACTTAGATTTATCTCTCGTTTCTGCACTCTTGAATTGAATTCTCATTCTCATATGATCACAACATTTATCTAAAGTTTTTTAACCATAATTTTCTCCAAACATTACAAACAAGCATTGATTTCATTTAACCATTTTCTTTGATCAGTTGAGAAATCAGAGGCCACTGACATCATGTTAAATCCCCCAGAAAATACATTGTTTTCCAAGCCTCATTAATTCTTCACACATCAAACATTTTGTGTCTTACCACACAACAGGGAGACAGTTCTCTTAACAAATGTTATTGTATTGTATAGAACTTTGTATAGAATTTTGTCTTCAGAGAGTCTGATACAAACTTTGATACACAATATGTAAGAACATTAGCCTAGATGAGAATATGATAGGGTTATTATAAGAGTACAGTGTATCTTGATATAGGACACATATTTAAGTTCAGTGGATTTTGATTATATAGGATTTCATAAAATACAAATATATGCCAAATATAATCCATTCTTGTTAAAGTCACAGAATTAGAAAAATCTATTGTAATAATGATTCTTTTATCATAATTTACCTCAACATATTGAAACTATAATTATATTCAACTGTAGCAAGATGCCTTACATCAGCAAAGTCACTCAAGATCACATTCATATACATGTACAATACTGATATCATTGTGTCAGGTGCTATAATTATATACACATATGATACATTCAATAAATATAGCAAAATATGTACAGGTACAAAGAGGCGTCTATGGCCAAATGGTTTAGGTCATTGACTTCAAACCACTTGTCTTACTGTTGACTCATATCTGGACATGGACTTTCTTTCATATGAGGAATCTTAACATCTAGCTAGCTTATAGAACGTTGGTGCCTGTTTTTGCCTGAAATAATGCACAGAAAGGCACCTGAAGTCTTCCTCCGCCAGTAAAGCTGGAAAGTCGCCAAATGACCTATACTGTGTTGTTGCGATGTAAAGCCCAAACATTCAATGAAGATGTTATAAGTGACATATAACTGCTGAATATCTGATACATGCCTGTTGAGCTTATTATCCCCCGCCGATAGATCGGGGGATATTGCTTTGGCGTTGTCCGTCCGTCCATCCGAATTTCGTTTCCTGACTAGTTCTCTGCAACTACTGGCTGGAATTCAACGAAACTATGGGAATCATCAATATCAAGATGTGCATATCATCAGCTTGTTCCGGTCAGACCCTTTAACTCAGAGTTATGGCCCTTGATTAGTTATGCAGTATGCATATAGAACATAATATTTTCGTTTCCACACTACTTCTCTCCAACTACAGGCTGGAATTCAATGAAACTTTATGGAACCTTAAATACCAAGAGGAGATGCGTAAATCATCGCCTTGTTCCGGTCAGACACTTTAACTTAGAGTTATGGCCCTTGATTATTTATGCAGTATGCAACCAGAGCAATAATCGTTTCCGTGCTACTTCTCTGTAACTACTGGCTTGAATTCAACAAAACTTTATGGGAACCTTCAATGTGCATATAGCCGCCTTGTTCCGGTCAGACACTTTAACTCAGAGTTTTGGCCCTTGATTAGTTATGAAGTATGCATATAGAGCAATATTGCTTTTTCTTTGCAACTGCTGTATTGATTTCAACAAAATTTTATGGCAACCATGGATACACAAAGGCAATTTACATTTCATTGGCATGTCCAGATATTACTATCTAACACAGAGTTATTGCTCTGTTATTGCCCTGAATATTTATCAAGTACAAAGAATATTACTGTTTATGCCATGATAAATATATAAATAAAGCCTAATGTCTTCAGTTGTTGTGTTAGTAATAACCAGTACTCGGCGGGGGATATAAATTCAACGAATTTGCTTGTCTTGTTATTGTAATGTTACAAAGTGATTCAAATTTCATTATTTAAATATTACCAGGTGGTTCTGAGACATTTCAAGACAAACAGACATTTTTCTATCACGAGGTTCGAACATTACATCAGCGAAGAAGTTACAGTACCACTACATTGAAAATTGATAGAGGCAAATTATTGCAAAGTGTGAGTATTTTTAAAAATCTTTCAGAATTTCATTTTTACATCAGTTTACTAGAGATGTTAAAAGAGATATGTACTCTCAAACAAATGTTATCACATACAATAAAGATAAAATATTTCATTTGTATGGTTTCCTTCCTTTGTTTTCACACAGATACAGATGCAAAAAGACAGCATTTTTGCCTTTAATACCTCTTATAACATGATTGTATTTTTGCTATTAAAATAGCTTGAATCAATAGATTCTGGTTTCTTACTTTGATACACCAATCAGTTTGCATCACTAAATACACTATAAATCCATGTGTACTTAGTTTTGAAATAAATATTAAATCAGCAGCAAATTTATGGTTTGTATGTAAACCTTGGACATTTTTTATCTAACCTGCATGAGTGTTTTTAATATGGGTTTAACACATAAAGTCTCTAGATCATAAGTTAAGTACAGTAATTAACATACATAGTTTTTCTTTTGACAACTTTACCCTTAACTGGCTATATTTGTGTAATGGATTAGCCCTGCTTGCAATTTGGAACAATCCATTCAAAGTTTAAGGGATTCAAATACAGAAATTGAGCTACCAACACTATCTATAGAACCTGGTCATAGTAATGGCCAAGACTAATCAGTTTCTGTTTTAGAATGTACAATGTTAAATATGAAACAATTTTTTATCACTTTTTTATTTCAGTCCTATAAAGCAACAAAAAATTTTGATGTTTCGGATTGGTGTAAAAACTTTGAGATTAATTTTGTTGGAGAAGAAGGTAAGTAGGTTTTATTCAATGAAATTTGTATAAAGTGGGACTATTTGGCCTAGAATGACAGCACTTTAGCTATTGCACTATAGATCCATTCAATAATATACATGTAACTGATCTTTCTGGAAGAAACTTTGCAGCATAAGAATGTCTCTTATTTCATCCTTGTGTATTTTCCTGTTTTAGATATTATAGATATTTTACAAACATCCATGAAGCCATAATGGTTAATGTTAGTAAAATCTGATATTAAATTTGATTATATCTTATATTGGAACTTTACCTTGCTAATTGTATGTAATTGACATACTCTGCTTGGAATAGATCATTGTTGATTTTACCTAATTTTAATATAAATATGCTAATATTAAGCGGTCAGAATTATGCATTCAATACCTTAGAACCCTTGTCCGACTGCATGGATTTATAAACTGGCTTGATTCCATACTTACGGGGAAATCAATGGCTGAGTGATTAAGGTAGTTGACTTTAAACCACTTGCCCCACACCGCCAGGGATGTTTAATTCTTTCATGTGAGGAAGCTATCCAGCTAGCTTATAGAACATTGGTGGCTGTACTCAAATGCCCATGTGTGCCTTAAATAATGCACAGAGGGGTATCTTAGGTTTTCCTCCAGCAGTAAAGCTGGAAAGTCTCCATACCACCTTTACTATGTTGGTACCACATAAAACCCAACCTAAAGAAAAAGAAACAAAATGATTCTATACTGGTTATGTTGGCCAGTATGTGTATAATCTAATATAATATTTGTTAAGGTCGAGGGAGTTCAGGAGAAGGAAAGTCTATAGATATGATTATTTTGGTTCTAAGATAATGGTTTTATATTATAACAGTGATAGATGGGGGATATTGTATCATTTTGGTCTGATGTAGAAAATACTTGTACTCATGCAATATATAGATGTATAAAGGTTACTGACAGACAGGATTATTTATATAATGTTATACTTATCATAGACTAGGATGTATAAATACAGGATAAATTAGATCAAATTAATGTACTATTATTTAGGACCTGGGACCTTTGGGCTTATTCTTTAGGACCTGGGGCCTTTGGGGCCTTGTCGGTTTTGAAAGCTTTTTACATATATATATATAAATGAGGATTAATACTGTATTGAAGATAAAAAGTTTCATTTTGCCAGGGTCTTTCAAATTTGAAAGACCCTGATTTTGCACAAAATTATCAGAATTTTTAACACCTAATTCATTGAAATTATTGGAATATGTGTACTTTATTTTGTAAATATTCAGCTTTGAGAAAACTTGTGTTTTTATTTTTTACTTAAATCTTGAAAAAATCATGTTGGTTTTTTCTCATACATCCCTGATAAGATCATTATTATAGTTCAAATTGTCTATAAAAAAAACTGTCTTGTAATGATTAGATGTGTTATATATACAGGGTACAAGACAAAAAGTTTTAATTCATCTGAGCGTGAGACACATCTTGTGATATTTTGCACATTCTGGAAAAATCTCTCAGTGCCAATCCCCCGCCATCTGCTATAGCAGACGTCATCTGTCCTATGTCATGATTTTGTCAGGCTTCGTAATTTGTCCGGATATAAGATAAATATGATAAACTGTTTGTCTGGAAAAAATGAATATGAATGTTTCATTGTTGTTTTTGGTGGATTCATACTTTTTGTATCATAGCCGAGATTACATTTATTTAATTATTAAAAAGTAATAATGTATCTTTAAATATTATGGATTTAAAAGATTGAGGAGTATTTTGATTTGTAAAAAGAAATGAAAAATTCTCATGCATGTAACACAAGTTATTAATTTGATCATATTTACTTGCTTAGATGTTATTTGATTAAAATAAACTTAGGGTAAAAAAATTTTATGACAAAAACAAGGTATGCATTTCAGATAAATAACTAAGTAAGGGAGCAAACTGTTATTTAAAATACCAATTTGTTCAAGAATTTGCAAATAAATCTGTCATGTTCATAATTAATCTTGTCAGATTCAATTTGAGCATAAATTTGGATGCCTTCACTTTACTTTAGTTTATACATGCAGTTAGTAAGTAAATTAAATGAATGACTGACTTACTTGACATAATGTTATTTTAATACACATATCTCAATCTTATTTTGTCTAAATAAATAATTGTCTCTCTGCTTTATTAGGACATTTTTCGTTTTTCATGAAAATATGGAATATATTTTCACGAAACATGATAAAATGCCACATATTTTCACAAGCCAGGACAGCAAGTGAAAATATGCAGCATTTTATCATGTTGAGTTAAAATATATACCATATTTCATGAAAAACGAAAAAAATAATCCTTTTATTTAATTTCATTATCAAAGAAAAATGGTTACGAATCCCCTTGCTTGTTACGCAACTGCAATTGTACAGCGCACAGAAATATATTGATTCTGTATTTGCACGCGCTGTTTGGCGTTACATGGTGACGTCATGTAAACAACTCTATAAACGTCTGTACAGCTTTAATGGCTGAATTAAAGATATTGGTGTTCGAATTTATTTTCTCAGACCATTTTCTTTCATTCTAGATAGTTTTCAAAACAAATTTCAACAAAAGTTGTTTTTTATTAATCAGATTTTTTAAACAAAATGGCGAAAGAAATTCCTTAAAATAAATATGAGTTTCGACTCCGTTCACTTTTATATTTATATTTCATATTTATTTTTTACAAACATGAAATATATTTGACTGATATAGCACCAAATTTCATGGGTAAAATTAAATAATCTCATATTTTAAGGTACATAATACTAGGAAGTTTCAATCAAGTGTGTTGTATCATATTGTAAGGCATATAAACTCTACCAGTTTGCTTATAGTCTTAGATATAGGGTAGAGGTTGTTCATATGATGATATTTTTTAGGTTTAGATTGGGGTGGATTGAGGAGAGAATGGTTCGAGTCTGTATGTACACAGCTGTTTGATCCAAGCATATCAGGACTGTATAGGAGATTCTCTGATGATAGTCAAGGTTTGGTGAGTAGGAATATTTACTTCTGTATTATAAAGGCTACATTATTATGACATAGATGGATTTAAATTTTAAATGATAAGTACATTTTACATGAAAGGAAATGAAGGCAAATGGAGCTGTAGATATTATTATTTATATGTTAGCCATCCATAATGCCTAGGGTTTGAGTGCATTGATATAGTTTCAGCAATTTTGGTCTAGTCAATAGCTATGGCTTCTGGCAATAAATTGTTTAATTCATATCTGTTGGACACTCCTATTGGTTACTTATTGTTTAGTATGTGTGATGTCTGTATTGACCACACTTATAAATTGTTGTTTTTATCAAAACAATGTTATAATATTGTTCAATTATAAATAATCTTTGTCAGCTTATTGACACTGTGTTTAGTATGTAGAAAAACAGGGTTATTTTTAATGACCAAGTTTCTATATCTTACGTGAATTTATTCTAACAAATCTGTTGAATGGCGACAAAACTGAGTGGTTAAGGCGTCAGACTTGTAATCTAAGGATTGCTGACCGCATGGGTTCAACCCTGTCAGGGGCAAATTTGTATCCTTGAGCATGAAACTTTACATTCATTGCTTAGTACGGGTTGGTTCCAGGAACGTTTTCGACAGTGTTTCAATAAGCTTACAGCTTCCAACACAATCAAACTAAAATAAATTTGTATAAACTAAATCTGTTATTAACTAATAATGTATAATGGATAGAGTGTCAAAATATAAATTATCTGGTATTTGAGATAAGAATATTAAAATATTTAACCCTAAATCTGCTGAAATTTCTTAATTGGACTTGTCCATCTTCCCTATTTTGATACTGTTCCATTATCAATTATGGGGATATGAAGATGAAAATTTGAAGCTGGTTAGCCAACAGAATAGAGCCTGGTCAGGTTACCAGTTTATGCAGGCTGGCCTGGCTCTATACTGGTGGTAAAGGCTAATCACTTCCAGTTCCAGCAGGTAAATGCTTATGTAATTTCTAGACCAATGTAATATCAATATATACTTTTTTTAATGATAATTTTCTATTTCGAGAACATGAACATATATTTTACCATAATACATATCCACTCCTATCCATAGCGTGCAGACAGAAAGAAGGAAATAGCCTTGTTTGTAAATAATCAGTAATAAGCATAGGCAGAGGCAAAATCGTGATCATACAATGTAATGTTCTGTTTAATGTATTATATAGATTTTTTTCTCGGTTTAATTAAGCTGTCTAGACCATTTGGTGAATTGATAAGTGTTTATTGTTCCATCAGGCAATATATGGCTTCATAGTAACAATAAACTGTAATATCTTCACTCATGTCTTCTTTATTTCCAGGTTCATCCAAATAGCACCAAGACGGATGATGATCTCAAGATGTACGAATTTGCTGGTAAAATTGTCGGGAAATGTTTGTACGAGTCTGCACGGGGATCCACGTATAGGCAGTCGTACAGACAACTTGTTAAAGCAAGATTCTCACGGTCCTTCCTTGCTCAACTTATTGGTCTCAGAGTACATTATAGAGTATGTACAGTTATATGTTCACATAGGTTATAAATGACAACTGTATGTACAGTTATATGTTCACATATGTATGTTATAAATGACAGCTGTATGTACAGTTATATGTTCACATATGTTATAAATGACAGCTATATGTACAGTTATATGTTCACATACATGTATGTTATAAATGACAGCTGTATGTATAGTTATATGTTCACATACATGTATGTTATAAATGACAGCTGTATGTATAGTTATATGTTCACATGTGTTATCTGTATGTACAGTTATATGTTCACATAGGTTATAAATGACAGCTGTATGTATAGTTATATGTTCACATGTGTTATAAATGACAGCTGTATGTATAGTTATATGTTCACATACATGTATGTTATAAATGACAGCTGTATGTTCAGTTATATATTCACATGTGTTATAAATGACAGCTGTATGTACAGTTATATGTTCACATAGGTTATAAATGACAGCTGTATGTACAGTTATATGTTCACATAGGTTATAAATGACAGCTATATGTACAGTTATATGTTCACATAGGTTATAAATGACAGCTGTATGTACAGTTATATGTTCACATAGGTTATAAATGACAGCTGTATGTACAGTTATATGTTCACATAGGTTATAAATGACAGCTATATGTACAGTTATATGTTCACATAGGTTATAAATGACAGCTGTATGTACAGTTATATGTTCACATAGGTTATAAATTGCAGCTGTATGTACAGTTATATGTTCACATAGGTTATAAATGACAGCTATATGTACAGTTATATGTTCACATAGGTTATAAATGACAGCTGTATGTACAGTTATATTCTCACATAGGTTATAAATGAGAGCTATATGTACAGTTATATGTTCACATAGGTTATAAATGACAGCTATATGTACAGTTATATGTTCACATAGGTTATAAATGGCAGCTGTATGTACAGTTATAATTATGTTCACATCGGTTATAAATGAGAGCTGTATGTACAGTTATATGTTCACATATGTTATAAATGACAGCGTATGTAAAGTTTTATGTTCACATAGGTTATAAATGGCAGCTGTATGTACAGTTATATGTTCACATATGTTGTAGATTACAGCTAATTGTACATAATACATTTTGTTATTCTTGTTTAAATTCATTTAAAATTTGGTATTATACTTACATTTGTTCTTGTTTATTACGTATATTACAGTATTTTGAGACAGATGACCCTGAGTTATACAAAACTAAAATCAAATATATAGAGGAGAATGATATAGAGGGTATGGAATTAACTTTCTCAGAGGAAGAATACAGTGTTGGTGTAAATGGTGGACATGGTATTGTCAAGGTAAGATATGATAATTGAGGTGAATCACAATACTGCTATGTGCATACATATGCCCGTATCAGTAACTTGAAGGCATACAGTTATACTGTTATCTGTCTGTATTTGTTACAGACAACTACAACCTTAGTGTTACATTCATCATTCTGTTAGCCAGAATCGTCATACTCCATACAACACACTTCTTGACATAATTTTCATTTTGATTTCTTGAATAGGTTATCTATGATTAAATCTTGGAAGTGTTTGATTATGGAGCATCAGAGGTCAGTATGTAGGTCACAAGTTCAAACTGATGGAAAATTTTATGAGACTCTACTAAATAAAGTTGAAATATTTGTTGTTTGGCATATATCCAAAGTAAATCTTGATATGTTTTGTCATAGATATATACATATACTCTCAACTTTATTAAGTCTGAGACAAAAGGTTGTTATTGTCTCATGTGAGCAATGAATAAAAGGGCTAAAAGGGTCATTGTGGTTCTATCTGTTTATAATGTCTGCTGATACATATGAAGTAAAATCATTGTAAGTCTAAAACAGTCACCCCTAATTGGCTGATAGCAAATTGGTATATCCATAATTGGCTATGGAGCAAATTGGTATACATGTATTAATTACACTTAATATTTCACTCCTGTATTATCAGGACATGAACATTTTTTTTTTGTGACCTTTAATATAAAATTAATGTGAAGTTGAAAGAGAGTTTTATTTAACTATTGATACAGGTTATAGATTTGGTACAGAATGGCTCAAAGATTCCAGTGACAAATGATAACAAGTTACAATATTTAGATCATCTAGCCCAGTATAGACTAGCCAACACAGTACGGGACCAAATTGATAGTTTCCTAAAAGGACTCAATGAGTTAATACCGGATAATCTACTCAGTATATTTGATGAGAATGAGTTAGAGGTAGGTGCTTTTTCTCTTTCAAATACTATGTAGCAAGAAGTTTCAATTTCCCTATAAAACAGTGTCAAAGTTGTCTTTTTACAATCACACTTAATATTTCTTGTGCAAGTTGGTATCTTGAAAACCATTGAAAATAATTGATTGAAAATTCACACACTTGTTCCCTTTGATTAATTAACATGATGGGCACAGGTCCCATAACTAGTTGTATATTTACAGAGTTATGTCCCTTTTCTTACTGTCAAGCATTGAGAACCTTCCAACAACTCTTTTTTAAATAATAATGATAATGATAATAATAATTATGATAATGAAGACTTTATTTAAAGAGGCAACATAGTTAGGCAAGCCCAATCTTCCCTATGAGCCTCTATGTATAAATAACATTGTATATAAAAAAAATTGATCTGAATTTAAGTACAGTAAAAACCCGCTTTACGACCACCCCGTTTTCGAGACCAACCCGCAAATACGAACGATTTTTTAAAGACCCGATTTTTTTATTCTTTATTTTAATGGTCGCTAACCCCGATTTTGAGACCACCCCGTTATTCCGTAATACGACCAGTAAATTCAGTCCCATTTCGTAATTTTGTACATTTGGAAACCCATAAATACGACCGCAGGCACTTTCTCACCTTAATATTGACAGGCATGTATATTGCTGAAATCTTTTTGACACGTGATGTAAACAACAGTTGTCCTAGTTTTACGACATTTAACGACATCCAATTTACGGCAAAGGTCAAGGTTACTTTGTATCCAACCCGTAAATGTTCAATAATATTGTCGATAATTTCTTAATTTCACACCTTTAATGTCATAACTGGAGGATTAAAACAACAAAATATTGAACAGAAAACTTTCAATAAGTTTTTTAGAGGTGTTGCTGCTATCATTATCTCTTTCGTTCCATAATTTTAAACAAACATAAACATGATACGATTAGGTTTTTGAAGTTGTTATCGGCAATGAAAACTGTGAAAATAATTAAAGGTTAATTGTTCGGTGTGCTTTGTAGTAAAATGGTGATTTAATTGAGTAAGTCATGTCATTCTTTTAACAAGAATGTAAAAATATATTTGTGTTTAAAGACATTCATAATACATTTTTTACCTCTAAAGAAGTTAAAAAAAATTATTATGTTAAAATGTAAAAGAAAATAAATGAAAATAAAAAAATAATAGTGTAGTGTATGCTTTATATCTTCTCATTTGAAATAGGTTAGCCCAGAATTAAACATGTGTACAGTACATGGTATCCCTTAATATATTGCCTGGTTTTCTGTTTGACCAAACTCATTAATGAGACCAACCCGCTATTAAGACCAGATTTGTAAAGTCCCTTCATTGGTCTCATTAGCGAGTTTTTACTGTATTCTAATAAATAATTACATGCATATAATATTTTTTGTTAGAATATGATTATATTATAGTATATAACATTCTTGTTTTAGTTGTTGATGTGTGGTATGAGAAAGTACAGTGTTGCAGATCTGAAAAATAACCACATTGTTACAGGGTCTTCACATGCATTCCGTAGAGTAAGTTATTTAATATCCAATTTTAACATTTTTAAAGTTTTAATTTGCAAACTTTGGTGTTTTAGTTCCTTGTTTTCTGCTTCAGATTCTGTCTATTATACCCCCACCACACAAAGTGCTTGGGGAGTTGGGTATATGGCTATAAAGGAATAAAAACAGTAGAATTTCCTTTACACTGAAATGAATGTCTTTGATATGCATTAACTTCATGAATTTTTGAGAATATTATATAAACACATGAAAGATTAAGTGTTACATGCTGAACTTTTTCTGATGTTTTAAGTAGTGTTATTTGGTATATCTTTATGTTAATTTCTTCATTTTTTTGTGCCCCCACTTTAGTGGCGGGCATTTAGATTTAGCCTTGTCCATCCGTCCGTCTGTCCGTCCGTCCGTCTGTCCTTCCGTCCGTCCGTTCACTTTTGTGTCGCACGTAACTCAAAAAGTATTTGACCTAGAGTCATGAAACTTTACAGGAATGTTGATCAGCATGTGTAGTTGTGCACCTGGGTATTTTCGTCTGGATATTTTTAGTATTTTCAGAGTTATTGCCCTTGACTTAGTTAAATTTTGCAATTTTCAACTTGTGTCGCATGTAACTCAAAAAGTATTTGACCTAGAGTCATGAAACTTTACAGGAGTGTTGATCAGCATGTGTAGTTGTGCACCTGGGTATTTTCATCTGGATATTTTAAGTATTTTCAGAGTTATTGCCCTTGACTTAGTAAAATTTTGCAATTTTCAACTTGTGTCGCATGTAACTCAAAAAGTATTTGACCTAGAGTCATTAAACTTTACAGGAATGTTGATCAGCATGTATAGTTGTGCACCTGGGTATTTTCGTCTGGATATATTTAGTATTTTCAGAGTTATTGCCCTTGACTTAGTAAAATTTTGCAATTTTCAACTTGTGTCGCACGTAACTCAAAAAGTATTTGACCTAGAGTCATGAAACTTTACAGGAATGTTGATCAGCATGTGTAGTTGTGCACCTGGGTATTTTCGTCTGGATTTATTAAGTATTTTTAGAGTTATTGCCCTTCACTTAGAAAATTTTTGCAGTTTTCAACTTGTGTCGCAAGTTTCTCAAAAAGGATTTGACATAGTCATTTAACCTTATAGGCAGGTTGCTCAGCATATTTTAGATTTGCACCTGGGGTTTTGCTTGTGGATTTATCCAGTATTTGTAGAGTAATTTCCCTTGACTTAGTAAAAAGATTGACAGAACAGTGGCGCGGTGGGGGCACCCGTGTCCTATGGACACATTTCTAGTTCCTTTTAATAAATGTACAAACAGAATGTGCAGTATAGTGAATTTACTTTATATTATAAGAATACAAGAGAATATCTTACATTTATATAACCTTTGACCTTAGTTCATGTTTATCTTATTCTGGTTATATATTCCTATATATCCTATTAATCAAAATAACATACAGATTCAATTCATCATCATGTGTTTTCATGCAAAAAGAGATATAATCTCCATGTTTCTGACTGTATTCTCTCATGAAGTATAAAATTATAGATATTCCAAACCCATGTTTACATTAGAGTTCTGTCAAATGCAGACTGTATCAAATTTGTAATTCATGTTGCTTTATTTTTCTCAGTATTAGAAACAATAATGTTATATTCCATGATTTTTGTTATTGTTTTGACAAACTGTATGGTGTATTTATTATATATTCTCTCATTTCTGTAATTTTGGTAGATTTATAGCTCAATTTGAAAATGTAGAAATATTAAATTTGAAAATTGTGTCTTCATTGATTATGGTCATGAAGTCAAGTTGTCATCAATGTTAGGAGAAATATATAGAAATATAAGGCTTACACAAGTGGCACAGGTCTTTAGAATATATAATCAGGTTTTGGTATGATTTGTACAAACCCTTGTTGTGCATGATTTTTGTTTTGTTTTTAATCAACTAATGTTCTTAGATATTTGTTATCTTGTAAAAACAAAGTCAAGTAGCGTTTTGATTTTATGTTTATTAAATGTGATGAAACAGTTATTTTATAATGGCTTAAGAAAAAACATGATGGGAATCAAATATTGTTTTATGATATAATTTATACATATATCAAACACTTGTATTACAGGTTCTGGACTGGTTCTGGACAATTATCAGTAGTTTTAGTGATGAACAGATGGCCAGACTGTTACAGTTTACAACTGGTTGTTCACAGTTACCACCAGGGGGCTTTGCTGAGCTGGTTCCCAAATTTCAGTTGTCTCCTGGCTACACATATAATACTCTACCTACAGCTCATACATGGTAATATCAATAATTTTTGACATATTTTACCTAACTATAAGGCTTCTTTACAACACGTTACCATACAAATGTATTTCAGTGTTATATACATGTACATTATGTATTTATCCACTTCAGCCATCTCATGCAAATCTTATTTATGATTATTCTTAATAATACAGAATATTTCCTGGATACTCATCTGAAAATCCAAATTTGACTTATTGTGCAGGGCATTGTTATATAATGTGATATTTATTATTATTGTCTTAATAATGTGGATATTGATGTAAAAATTGTGGGATTAATGCATTTTTATGCCCCCACAATGTGGGAGCATATAGCGTTGCACTTGTCCGTCCGTCCATCCGTCAGTCCGTCCGCACTCACAGGAGAGTAATTATGTGGCTAGAGGGACAATAGGTAACTGTTCTTTCTCTTTGATGTCATTCATTCCGTAATGCTTTTATGTGGCTATTTTCTTTTGTGTGGCTAAAAAGAACAATAGAGAGAACAATAGAGTAGCCACATAATTACTCTCCTGTTAGAACTTCCGTCCGTCAGTCCGTCCGTCCGTACGTCCCGAAATCTTGTGAACGCAACTCCTCTTAAACCGGATGGCAGATTTTGCTTTAACTTACAGGGATGAACAACTTTAATGTGTAGATGGTAGTAAAGGAAGGAATTTTCGCTGGGACCAAATTTAACAGAATTATGGCCCTTTGTTGATTTTTTCACTAGATACTATGTAGAAATTTTGTGAACGCAACTCCTCTTAAACCGGATGGCAGATTTTGCTTAAACTTCCAGGGATTAACAACCTTAATGTGTAGATGGTAGTAAAGGAAGGAATTTTTGCTGCGACCAAATTTAACAGAATTGTGGCCCTTTGTTGATTTTTAGTTTTCAACTTGTGGCACATGTAGTCCAAAAAATATTTGACCTAGAGTCATAAGATTGAATGACAGAACAGTGGCATGTGGGGGCATCCGTGTCCTATGGACACATTTCTAGTTATATTTTTCATGTAAACTAGATATATGTACACATGCTTTGTATTAACTTTACAATTCTACTGTTTTGTTCAGATTTACTCCGAGTCGCTCATTTAAGTGTATATTTTTGCTGAACTTGTGTATTTCAAAACAATAACAGTTTATTGTTATTAAAATTATATTTTATGTGCATTGATGAATCTTAAATCTCAATACATGTAATGAATGGTACAGTTTAAATCTTGAAAAAAATACCCTGCTAAAACGCTGATGATAAATGATAATGTGATAACCTTGTTATTATATAGATATGTATTTTATTTCAGCTTCAACAATTTGTGTTTACCTGACTATGACAGTATAGAACAGTTTCACAGATCTCTGCTCATAGCTCTAAATGAAGGCAACACTGGTTTTGGACTGGTTTAATCTATCATCATACTAGTGAAGGAAATATTATTTAATTATCATTCTCTTTATGAAGGAAATAATGTATCCAGTCTGGTTAAAGATCCATACTGTTAGTGAAGGAAACAAAGCATTTTGACTTGTTTTAGAACATAATATAAGTGAAGGAATTATAGCATTTATACTTGTTTAAAATATGAATGAAGGAAATATAGTTTAAGATTTGTTTAATATACTATAAGTGTGGAAACATAGCATTTAAACTAGTTTAAGAACCAAAATGTTAGTGAAGGAAACACCAGGTTTTATCTTGTTTTTCTATCATGATTTCAACAGCATAAAGGACTGGCTAAGTATAGGAAAAAGTATGCTTTTTATAAATAAAACTAAGGAAACATTGTTTCTACTTTGTTAAAACACTGCGTTCTATATGAAAGAAACACCTTTTCCTCTATGAAGGAAACACTATACTGTTCATGGAGGCAACACTGTACTCTCATGAAGAAAACACTGTATTCATCATGAAGGAAACTCTTTACTCTTCATGAAGGAAACACTACTCTTTGTGAAGAAAACAAAAAGCTGTTCATGAAGGAAACACTATAGTAAACTTTTCATGAAGGAAATACTGTACCATTCATGAAGGAAACACTGTATCTATAGTGGTTAACCATTATGCTTTAGTGATATAGCAACAATTGTTTTAATTTTGTTAAAAGCTTGATATCAATAACATGAACATTTCTCTTGGACTTGTTATATCTCATATTCTGATTGAAGGAAGCCAGGTGTGCTCTTCACGAAGGAAACACTGATTTAAGGTTGATGTAATTTATGGGTAAAATAAACTTCTGAGAAGTTAAGTTGTAAGCCAAGTTTAGGTTATCATACTGTAAAGGAATGGTTATGAGCCAAATTAGAATATAGTTTTGAAAAACAAGGAATACTTATTATGCTTTATAGCCTGAATTAGTAAAGTTGATAGTAGATAACATTTATACGAATCTTAATAAAATCCTTCCAAAAACTGTCATACACCATTTAAAATGTTAAGTTATTTTCAAATGAGTACAAGTTAACCTATATGATGTATTATACAAATATGGACTTTTTAGCTGTTGAATATGATGTGATATGTACTGAAAAAATTAATATTGACCGAGGCGATAGCCGAGGTCAATATTAATTTTTCAGTACATATCACATCATATTCAACAGCTAAAAAGTACATATCTGTTTTATTATATAATTTATAAATAGCTTTTATATGGCTTATCACATCTGCCATTGCATACGACGGAAATCATTATTTTTCAGCTTGTCTACTGTTTCCATAATTTGGCCCTTTCCATTGGCATGCTTATCCCTATTGTTCTTAAAAATGAAAAACGGTAACTAATATAGACTAATTTTACTCTTATGTACACCCAACTCAACGTTTTTTCAGAATTATAACAACGAATTCGGCGTGACGTCACGTCAAAGTCTCTTTTAGGGATTTCCAGGAAATCTATTTTTAGAAGAAAAACCGGTGAATATACTCTGAAAATCTATTTTTAGGAAAAAAAACAGTGAATATACTCTGATATTGACCTGTTATTTTTTACAAAAAGTTGCTTGTTAGCCAATCAGGGAAAGGCATTTCAAAGCTATTTATAGATTATATAATAATAAATTATGTTTGACAAAAATCTTATTATTCAATATAACATATTTAAACAGAGAAAAATAAAATGCTTTTTTATGTCATTGAATTGTAGAATGTTTGCTGTCGATTGCTGATGTAAAATCTTTGTCTCAAGCAGAAATGTATAATTTTTTAATGCTGGTTATTAGTCCCCTACCGGTTTACCGGAGGGGACTTTAGGTTTACCCTCCGTCCGTCTGTCCGTCTGTCCGTCTGTCTGTCATGAATACATGTATATGCGTTTTTAACCGTTTCATTGTTGTCTATGATAACCATAACACAGGTCAGGGTCTTTCTATTTGAAAGACCCTGCACAGGTATACAGACAAAAATTCAAGTTTTGTTTTCATAATTATGGCAGTTTCTTATCAACAAAAGGAAACAAATAGGACAAAATAGAAAATAAGAATTCTACCAAGTCTCTTTATTATTGGAGACTAACCACATAAAGGACATGAACCACATAGTTTATGGTGAAATAGACTCATAAATTAAAGATTTCAGTAGCCACTTATTTGTCAAAATGTGAGTACAACTTGAAGGAGCCACATATAATTTTAGCCACATAAGTGTTTACAGCCACTCAATTATTTAGCCACCCATTTACCCTCTCGTTGGTACGTCCGTCAGTCCGTCCGTCCACAAAACTGGATCCCGCGATAACGCAAAAAGTACTGAAAATATTTTAATGAAACTTGATATATGGATAGATGGCAGTATGGAGATTATGCACGTCTTTTTCTTTTCTTCCTATGTTGAAAATTCTGGTTGCTATGGCAACAAATAGACTGAAAATATGGCAAATTTTACACATAAACTGGATCCAGTGATAACGCAAAAAGTACTGGAAATATTTTTATGAAACTTGACATATGGGTAGATGGCAGTCTTGAAATTATGCACGTCTTTTTCTTTTCTTCCTATGTTGAAAATTCTGGTTGCTATGGCAACAAATAGGCTGAAAATATGGCAAATTTTACACATAAACTGGATCCAGTGATAAAGCAAAAAGTACTGGAAATATTTTTATGAAACTTGACATATGGGTAGATGGCAGTCTTGGAATTATGCACGTCTTTTTCTTTTCTTCCTATGTTGAAAATTCTGGTTGCTATGGCAACACATAGACTGAAAATATGGCAAATTTTACACATAAACTGAATCTAGTGATAACTCAAAAAGTACTGGAAATATTTTTATGAAACTTGACATATGGGTAGATAGCAGTGTTGAGATTATGCATGTCTTATCTGTTCTTCCTATTTTGAAAAAATATCAGTTGCCTTGGCAACAAATAGGCTTAAAACATGGCAAATATAACAATGTTTGTGATTAGTCAAAAAGAGCTGAATTTTTTTATGAAATTGCATCTTTAATTCAAGAGTTATCTTCTCTTTAAGAATTCTGCTTTTAAAATGTTATATTTTGGTAACAGGGATGTTTCAAATATTAACTTTAGAGTGTCCTTCAGTCCGTCTGTCTGTCTGTTCATAAAAACTGTTTCCTGTGATCACTTTTAAAGAACTTTTCCAAAAAGTTTACTTAAAATAGAGAAAAATTGAAACATAAGTGAATGGCCAATGGCCCTTCAGAATGTTGATAGGGTTCTAACCGGTAGGGGACTTATGGATTGCTTGCAATACTATGATAATTGCTTGTTGAAATATGTTTTAAAAGCTGCCAAATAAAGCATGATGATGATTTGATAAATTGATTTTTTAAGTTTAATTTTTTTAATATTATTTTATATGTAAGATTATCATTTGATTATAACTTGAAATCAAAATAAACAAAGCTGTGATGACAATTGATTATCAGATTTTTAGTGTTTAAAGAAAAGACAATTCATGTCACCATTATATAGATATATGTCATCTAAACCATTAGTAATCATATCATCATATCACGTTATCATTGTGTAATTGATTTAGTGCACCTGTTGGTATATCAATACAGTACGAGTTGATAGTAAAAAAAAAAACAAATGTTTGTAAATACTTTGCAAATTTTAAATGCTGCTTAGTAGTTAAGTGTAATAGCTTAGCCTCTACAGTACTGCCTGTGATTATATTATATATGATACTTCCATGTAATACCATGGTATTCAAGGTTTACTTGCTTCAAATTCTATTTGGACCGTTTTTTACAAAATAATTCAAACTATTAAGCTTTTAGCATCACCTGCATAAATGAGATCAATAGTTATTTTATGTATCACAGAATAAAAGTGAAAAGCTTTTTGAGCAATGCTATTACATAAGCAAGCTTCATGTAAGACAAAAAATACAAAATAATCTGCATTTTCCATAATAATTCTCTGTAAGCCAACAGGAAAAATGACATTCCTAAGCTACAAAGTTTAGGGCCTATCCACTTTAGGGCCTTTCCACCTGCAAATCTGTTCAGTCATAACAAAATCTTAGTGCTTTTCGGTATTATGACCATATGTCCCCATGTCACACTAGAACTATCAAGTCCAGGAAGCAGATTTGAGTATGGTCCTCACCACTATCAAGCTAAATTAAATATGTTTATAACCATACTAAACTTACAACTAGGAACATAATCATTGTTCAGATATAAAAGTGTGTATGTCTGTCTGTCTGTAATATTGTTATGATTCTAAAATAGACTAATCAGGTATACTGTGTACAAATTATGTGAACTGTAAATCTATTTCTATACCTCAGATATATGTAAATTTCTGTTTTCTGTATTATATTCTGTATATTTTTCTAAGGACCATTTTATTTATACAAGTTATATTCTTTTCTTTTGTGATGTTTTGTTTTCTGAAAAAAATAAGATGTATAATGTTATTATTAATTGACTAGAAACACTTTTAACATTAAAATAATTCAAATGTGTTCAGTTTATCTTTTTCTAGTATGCTTAGTTGTCAGAAATTAAAGGGACTTCACTTAGGGTTTGGACAGGTTGGGACTGGATACATTTCTATTACTATTTGATGTAGTTTTCTACCAATAACTTGTGTGCAAATTTCTGATCATTTCCCCACTCTGTTTTTACAGAATAATCATTTTCCATGTGCACAATGACCTAAAAACAAAAAGCGTTTAAACTCAAATTGGGCAAAAAATCATTTTAAATATTGATTTTTCAACTTAATTCTGAGTAAATTTCTTTTATTATGTAATCATTTTTCTGTTTTGAGTGCAACAGAAGTGTTATGTAATATTTTCAAATTTTATGTTCTTTGGCTTCTGTTCCTCAGTGGAGTTCCTTTAATAAATCGATATGTACATGTGTGTCAATAACTACAGGTGAATTTTAATCACTAAAAATATTGTTTATTTTTGTTGTTGCAATCCTTTATCCTATACTTTGTCCCCATTTTAAATTTTAATTTTGCAATTGAATATTGAAATTATTTGTATTACAAATTATTCTGGCAATTTGTTTTTGTTACATATTTTACATTTTGTATTTATTTGTATGATTATTTATGTTTTTTATCGATAGTTTTGATATTGAGCAAATATTTTTACATATATAAATTGTAAATATGAAAATGTCAAATCTTTGGAAGTAAGTGTTTCCAAGTAAAGCTTCTTTTAAAGAGTATATGAAGGAAAAAATGCAATATATGTACATTTTTGTATATACAAATCTCATGAGTTAGTTATAAATATGATTGAACCCTTCCTTAAAAGTGCAAACTGATCAATAAAAACCAGTATAAAAGTAAATAGTTAAAATAGGAAAGCTAGATAATTTTCCTCATAAACAGTTAAAATGAGAGAATAAAATGCTAATCTTTGGAAACAAGGTTTCAGTATTTGGTCTTTTATATTATTTATAATTAGAATAAGAATTATATTTAATACATGTGAGATAGTCCGTCAACAACTGAGAGCAGGGATCAAGAGTCATATTTGTTCTTATATTTACAAGTTAAAATTGTAGCAGGTTAAGTAAAAGTTGTCTCCTCATTCAGCTGGACAAATGGCTCTGAATTTTTTTTAATCGTTTGAGGGTTAATTAATATCTTAAATTGGTGAAAATATCTTAATAAAAGTTGACACACAGGTACATTAGTCTTTTCTGTGTTACATGTACTACATTTGTGAATCAATGTGATGATATCACATACTTAATTATGATATCATTTTGTAAAACAATAATGGCAAATGGTATGTACATATAGTGGGAAACCAGTTTGTAAAGGAATGTCTTGTTTAAAGAAATGGCTAGATCAACAAGGATCTAATTCTGTTGGTATTACCTATGTTTTTAAGGATAGTGATTAGAGAAGAGTTAATCCTTATCTTTTTATTTAAATGCAAGTAAGATATGATTTTTCTTATATCTGTATTTTGTTTGGCGCCATATACATGTAGCATTTATCTAAAGGGATGAATATATGTAATTAAATACAGTCTAACTTTGTGTTTAATTTAGCTAGCTTTAGATATTTGGTTGTATTTGGATACCTGCTGTTGCCTTAAAAATGCTTTGTAAGGCACCTTGCGGCTTCCTCCACCAGTAGACTTGTAAACTTGCTGTGTTGTTGTGAGTTCTTTATGAATTCTGGGGATATTGGGATGGAAATATGACATTGGTCAGCCAACTTTTAGAGCCAGGTAAGTTAAAGAGTAAGCCTTGTCCTGGTTCTTTACTTGCAGCAAAGGCTTATCTGGGTCAAGCAGGGTAGCCATAAGAGTTAATATTGTTGCATCACAGTTGAATTATTTTATCAGCTTATATATTTAAATGCAATCACTTAGATGCACTAGTATTTTGTTTTAACTCATATGATTTAAAACATGCTGCTAAAGAGCTTTATAAAATTAACTTTGGATGTCTTGTCATGATATGTCCAGAATTACTGTATAAAAGTAACAGGGCCTGTTTCTATAGAACTAAGTGATTTATTGCAAACCCTCTTTGCACTTGGAAATTAAGCGTTATAGAGTTTTATAGTTTAAAATGTTAGGTGTAAACCTCTAATATGTCTTATTTAGCAAAGCTCTATATTGTCATCTTATTATCCCCCGCCGATGGAATCGGGAGGAGGATATTGTTTTGGCGTTGTCCGTCCGTCCGTCCGAATTTCATTTCCGGACTAGTTCTCTGCAACTACTGTTGGGAATCATCAATATCAAGAGGAGATGCGCATATTGTCGGCTTGTTCCGGTCAGACACTTTAACTCAGAGTTATGGCCCTTGATTAATTATGCAGTATGCATGTAGAGTAAAAATCGTTTCTGTGCTACTTCTCTGCAACTACTGGCTAGAATTCAACGAAACTTTATGGGAATCATCAATATCAAGAGGAGATGTGCATATCGTCGCCTTGTTCCGGTCAGACACTTTAACTCAGAGTAATGGGCCTTGATTAGTTAAGCAGTATGCATAAAGAGTAAAAATTGTTTCCGCGCTACTTCTCTGCAACTACCTGCTGGAATTCAACGAAACTTTATGGGAACTTTCAATACCAAGAGGAGATGCGCATATCATCACCTTGTTTCCGTCAGACACTTAATCTCATAGTTATGGCCCTTGATTAGTTATGCCGTATGCATACATCTCATTGGCATTTCCAGATATTACTATTTAACACAGAGTTATGGCTCTGTTATTGCCCTGAATATTTATCCAGTACAAAGAATATTACTGTTTATGCCATGATGAATATATAAATAAAGCCTCATGTCTTCAGTTGTTGTGTTAGTAATAACCAGTACTCGGCGGGGGATATAAATTCAACGAATTTGCTTGTTAAATATGAAACTTTATTGCTTGACTTCTCAAACTAGCAAACATTAATCAGTATCAACATATGATATTAGAACAGCAATGTAGAAGGTTCAACAAACATGTCAACCTTAAATTTGTGTTTTTGAATTTGTCTAAGTGGTCTTCAGCATTGGTCATAAAGAAAGAATTATAAGTTCATGTAATGTAAAGTTATGAACAGTAAAGGCCCATGAACGTTTATTGTGTTATATTGTTTCATTTTGTATTTCATTCTTTTTATATAATTTTATACATTTTAATTTATGCTTATAACATTACAGAATCAAAGCATAATTAAGGCATGCTTATATAAGAACAAATCTTATGTTTACCTATTATTTTATTTATGTGTATATTACACACACAAAAAATGTCAAAGAAGAAGTCATTTTCAAAATCTTCTGATGTAGAATTGTTTTTCAGTGAATATTTTTCATTTCTGTTTTTAGCTTATCTAAGCACAAAGTGTTTATAGGTAAACATTTATGACAGTATAATATCAGTCATTCACAATATCTAAAAACATCTCCTTCTTAACCACTTGGGATATTTGTCTGAACTTCAAAGTAATGACCCTTAGGTGACCCTTTACAAAAGTAATTGTTAACGTTCACAAGGCCTTGAAATTTGGCATTTTGCATGTAGCGCTAATCTTTTATCAAAGTTACTTATCTTTTGAGTTTTTATCTTAAAAGAGTGGAAATACCAAAATACTGACTTATCTTAATATTTCTTTCAAAATTTTATAACTTAAGTTGTATTCTTAATTGTATTCTTAGTTGGAACACCTTTTATATTATTATTATTATTTAGAGTTTTAAGCACATGCAAACTAGAAATGGCAATAGACTCTCCTTTTGATCAATGCAATTAAAATATTTGAAATATATGTTTGGTTGAAATATCCTATTGTTCATTGGTTACTATAAGAGTGATTATGTGCTTGATAAGAATTTATCTATGTATATGAACACGTGATCAATGTGTACTATGTGATATGTGGAAATGGTTGTCATAAATGACATGTATGTTGCTGACCGGTAAATGTGCACCATTTTAATGTATGTATATATCATCATAAATATATCAATGACTAATCAATAAAATGTGAAAAATAATCAGTGTTTGTCATTATTATTTTAATTACCTTTTAGATTGTGTTGAAGGAACAGAAGCAAGAACTTCAAGATTTATTTTAAAAAAAATGAAACCCTGTTAGTATGATGCCATCACCATTCTCTATTATTATCCATTATTTCTTTAAGCAAGGTCTTCTTTACCTCTAAAGAAAAACAATCTAATATGACCCAAGGACTTACCTCTGCATAATAAATATCATAATTTTTATAGCATCAACGATCGAATCGCAATCATGGTCAAATTGTTCCTTATGTATTCCTTTCTGAAATTTTATTACTTTATTCACCAGTATTGTGGGTAAAGCCATTCACTATTTTGCATTTCGAAACTCTCAAGGGATTCTCACATTTGAAGAAGATACCGAATTTGCAAGAGGTCAATAGTTCTACCTTGTCCCCCAATCCAAGGCATGTATTTAATTATAATGCATGTGTACACTTGTAAAGGTCGTAGACTTTAAATCACTTCTGTGGCGGGACTTTGGATTATTTCGTGTGAGGAAGATATTAAGCTAGCTTACGTAATGTCGGCGTGAACTTATGCCTGCAATAATGCTTTACTAACGACATATCTATTCATTTTATACAGATGGCATCCGAGTACGCAGATACAAGGTGAGATATGTTAGATGTTCCTTGGTGAAATACATATTATTCATTATTTGTCCAACGATTATAAATTATCTTCTCACTTTGGGGATCAGAGTTGGACGTTAGTAAAGGTAAACCAATCAGATGGTTAGTATTTTGTACACTCAATAGTCCTGTAATTGTCTTGTAAACGACATTCGACTTACCCCAATTTAAGACTTACCCTAAGATACTTTATCAAGTATATGAAGATATGGTACATTAACAATCTTAGATATTAATAGTTTATATCATAAAAAATAACACTTTAAATTTGAAAATTTTCTATTTGATAAATGTATATTCCATATGTATATCACAGTATGAGTACAACATAATAAAAAGTTTTGTAAAACTATTGCCGCATTTACAACAATGAATAGGTAACTAAGAGTGAAAATAACAACATATAGATAAGCAGTCATTTATAGTGTTTGATATCACATCATTACCAGGCAGATTTTGGTCGATTGGAGGCGAAACCTAGAGATGATTTTGATCGTATAGCTAAAGCTGACGCTGACGTAGTGTATCGATTTTGGTCACGTGTTATAATGTAACGCCGCACGTGCTGGTGAACATCTTTTGATAATCTGATGTTCTTTGGATACGAGCATGGCTTCCGGTTCACAAAAACTGTACCACCTGACATTGGAACATTATCCGAGTCCTGCAGACGACAAATTATAAAACAGAATTACAAAGACTTTCAAAGCCAGGGGTTTAACATATATATAGAGCTAACTGTCCACCAATCTATATTTCTGAATAGTATAATACTTCAAATTCCTACATCTTTAAAACAGTTTAAAATGCGTCACACTTGGTTTGTCTATCATCTGTTTGAACAACAATCATACAAGAAATTTCATTTGGAAAGACATTGTTCAAAGTGACTTACCTTTACATGATAACATTTCATCTCGTCTATTCGGACGTGATCGTTAACTCGTTTGTGCCTAACTTCGTCACAAAATACTTTCATTCGATCTTCTAGATTCTTTAGATTACTAGCACTTGTTTCGTAATCAAAATAGTCCTCATCATGTAAATCATACATGTCGTCTGGTCTATAATTTAATTGTGCGCGCTCCGTTTCTTCTCGAAGCTCGTTCTTTGCCGCAACGGAACAGATAACCTTCGATCTTGCTATATCTTTTCCACGTTGTATAGTATCTATTTGTTTGAACACGTGATCATATTCTTGCGTCACCATGATTGATTTTTCTTTTACAATTGTTTCCCCAAGTTCATCCGTAGTTTCACATTCGGTAAGATGAAACACGTTGCTTTGTTCAGCTGGACTTGTATGCGGTCTCTCGCTTCCATCTTCAAACTGAGAGTGAGATTCGATACCTAATGCGGTTTTCGGTCGTAAATGTCGTGTTTTCGAAGGCTTAGCTTGTTCTAACCAGCTTTGTTCTGGGTGTAAAAGTTCTGTTTCCGCTGCACTATTTTGTAGCTGTTTCCTCGACCGCGGAATTCTAGTCTTCCTCCGCCGAAGAATAAGTGCCTGCTCCTCTTTCTTTTTCTCAGATTTCTCAATCTGTTTATTGCGCTTTTCTGACATCAAACGATTGTGAAAAGAGTCCGGTAATATTGGATCTATCAATGGCCCTCTGTCTTTCAAGTATAATTTTATCATTTGAGACAAGACGACATTTCTGTCATTATCATTTTTTACTTTCTGTGTCTGCTGCTCTTTCATCTTTGGTTTAAGCTCTTCTTGTAGTTTATCGCATACTTTACGAAACAGAGGCACGTTCCCGCCATTTGAAGTGGCTATTCTACTATTCAGTTTCCGAAACACGCCCTCTTTTAGCTTAAGAATTGTATGTAAGTTTTTCTTTAATATAAGTCGTTCATAGGTTTTTGTATCTAGTATGAACACTGTGGTATTCATTGCAGTGCACGTGACAGTGCACGAGGATGTAGGCATCTCCATAGCCATCTCAAGATCACCTACAATAAATATCTAAATCATGTAGACTTTACGATTAAGTAATATTTCTTTCTTATATAATCATTAGAAAAATTGCATTTGTCTTGACAAACTACCATATTGTCTTTCAAAATCATTCTATTTGCAAATACCTAGATCTATACGTTTTTCATTTAAACGATCTGATAAAATAAATTAAAGAAAGCCTTCTATAAATCAAATTAAATCAACTCCACTTTTAAATTGATGGTAGGATACTACGTCATGGCGCACCTGCAAAATGCTCCCAATCGGACTGTTTTTATTTTAAAGGCATATAGGAAATTATTTTGTATACCTTGTATTTCGTTGCCCTCCACGCAACAAAGCTCGAGAGATTTGGACATAAAGCGTTTCTCAGCGGCAGCATACCCTTCCTTCCGCCTTACCCGTATTTGATGTTGAGTCAGTCCATTGGGCAACTTCTGTGATACGTTCTCTTTATTTTGTCTAAAAAAGTGAAAAAGTGCTGATTCATGAAATATTTACATTTACAAAAATCTCATATTTGGTGAACTTCGTCGGTACCATACGCCAAGTTATATATCTCTTTTGAACAAAGTTTCTTTTATTATCTTTAGTGCGAAATACTCATAAATGAAAATTTCTGCATTTTATGACAGGAGAAGAGACAAGTAAATAAATTGTTATTACCTGCCGAATTCTTGTTCCATAACAGACATTTGTGTCATAAGCTGTGGATATTGCGACTTGTGTCTGGAAGGTTCGGTTGTAACTTTTGCTTGACCACTACAAAATATATAACTATATCTTGACCACTACACAATTTAACACTAACCACCTTAACTTTATTATTTAAATCGTTATTAAATTACATTGATACTTTAACAATTAGTTTGTTTAAAAAAGAATAAATTCAATGAAGAAAAAATGAAAATATAATAATTTCTATATAATAAAGTTTATGTATCGAGTGGATTTGGTGGAATAAAAAAAATGTTATGATATATTCCGGTATCTGTGTGTTTAAAAATCATTAAAAAGCTTCAGTTTTTTATTTGTAAGCTTAGACTTAAAAAAAGAAACTTCCCTTTTTATTTTCAAAAGAATGTAATATTTCTGTTGGATTTTATTCCGAGGCGTTTTTAAATGAGACTGACGTACCTGACAATAAAGAAGAGACCCCCAGCAGGATCTCCCTGTCGCATTATTTGTGTACCGTACGGATATACTTCCTTTCTTATGCTCATCTCGAGCAAATGTTTAAATTTCGGCGTCCAGTCTCCGAACAGACGACAATTATCAATGAATGATTTCTTCTCTTCATATTCTTTCTCTTGTTGCGCCTGGAATATAATCATTAGTGTAATAGCGCTATTTGAGGAAGATATAACGTTATTTGATATTATTTTATATATTCAAAAAAAAATAGGTAAATTACTAAAAATATTTAATAATTTTTTTATAATAAAAGGAAAAAAAGACTACTTCGCTATATCAAATCCATTTATTAGAATCACTTAAATAAGTAAGGCAAATGGTTCGATATGCAACTCTGTGGTATGCGAGTAAAATTATAATTTCAGTAATTGCATATTGAAATATTGTATTTTTTTTAATTTATTTTTTCGAGTAATTTAAGTAGTTCATAGACTTGACCTTCATTGACCTGTTGAAAAGGTCACGGTGAATAAGCATCAAATCCGTTTCTTCGTCTGCTATAACAGTGGCGTTCCTCACGGAATCTTCACTAATTAACGCTATTTCACCAAAACTCTTTCCAGCGTCTGCAAATAATACGTTAATTAATATTTTATTTTACCGGAAAAATAACTTAAATAATCACGCTCTTCTTAAATCCTAATACAAAATAGCGATCTCTCATACCACATATCGATGAAATTGAAATTAAATTGATATTACTTTTCTCTCAATCTTGTATTTAATGAAAAAAATAACCCTACCAAATGAAGAAGTCAATGAACATTAACGAGTATTCCAGCAATATCTATAGGGTGTAAGTTAAAGTTAAACATTCATCAATTTTCATAATTAAAATCCGATGATAGCGAATCTAGACTCTATCAGTGATCAAACAGAATGTTAAATTTATGGACATTATGAACTGGGTCAATGGATTTTCCAAATTAATTAGCTATATAGAATGCATTGATGTCCCTTAATGTATAAAACGCGGCTAGCTTGTGGCGTAAAGCATTGAAAATTTTACAATGGTTAATTGTAGGGATATTGAACGGTAAGGTAAATTAATGTTCAAACGATTCTGAAAATGTTAAAGAATCGATTTAGCCGTAAAAGCACCGTATATGTATGATGTCATGAAACGTGCGGGACTTAAATTTATATAGATCCATAGCATGATCTATAGGGAAATCCTAGTTATTGACGTACAAAATGTAGTTTTTTTTAAGAAAACAAAAAGACAATGGCACTTAGCAAACAATAATATTGCTGCGTTTAAGAGAAAACATCATTGTGTTAATGTTTGTCCTACAAACCATCATGGTCTGGGGATACAATTTATTTTGTAACATTTTGTAGCTAATCATCAGTTTGTTCGTATCATGCAGCTTACAAACATAGATCTGTATTGTGCGTGCAGTATTGTTATAAGAATGCTACGTAAGCTTTAATTGCGAAAGTTAAGTGGCGGCATAGTCGAATTGTTAACAGTTCGACTAGTAGTCCAAGGATCGATTTCTGCGCGGTTTCAAACCAAGTCAGGGGCGAGCTGTTATTTTCCTATATACTCATTGCTCAGTACTGATCTGGCTCGAATGAAGAACGTATTCAAGTGTATGTCTACAAGCTAACAGCTTCCTACATAATCGAATTAAAATAAATCATATATGAACCAAATTGTGAAAGATTTAAAGCTGCTTGCTTCCTGATTAATATAAACATTTATAAGGCAAATTTTAAATATATAAGCTATATAATTATTTATTATATACTTATAAATGAAATATTGAGAAATATTGATGAAATAAAATGCGTATTTTCATTTTCCGTATTTTCACTGTAAAAATTTATTTTTCACTGCAGTGAAACATATTTTCCGTATTTTCACTGGTGTCTCGCTGGACTACTTTCTTTTAAATTCTGCCAGTACACAAAATTTAAGGGAAAGTCTTTCAAATTTTATCGCAAAAAAAGAGAAAAATGTATATAATAAACAGAAAATTCAAGTTTTTCTATAAATACATGATTTATTCTCATCTTGTGGCATGAAAATAACCATATTTCACTCGTGGCTACCGCCACTCATGAAATATTTATTTTCATACCACTCGATGAAAATAAATCATTTATTTATAGAAAAAACTTGAATATCCTCTATGTATTCAGGATTTTATATATAATTTTCCACATTCTATGTAACTTTTGGCAAGCTTTCTGCAGAAAATAATCATCTCTATTTTAGAGATCATTAGTCTTAATCTTTTACTCAAGGCTATAAAACGGACCAAATGAGTTTTTCTCTTTCTTACTTTTTTGACAAGATGGGATATATTACCGGGTATACAAGAAATTATTCCTTTTGAGATTTGTTTACTCTTTGATGTAGATCGGGACCAAAAACTTGTATCATTCACTCACGCTTTTTTTATTTATTTTTACAGAAAAATAAACTGTAAACAATGACTCAAAAACTAAAAAACTTAAAGCTTTTAAGTGTTAAACGTTTTTTTTTGAAGAACATCAGTTGATCTATTCAAATTTTATGTTTTAGGCCTATGAACACCAATGGAGTTCCTTTAACTACAAAAATCAAATTTTATGTTTTAGCCTTATGGCACACCAGTGGAGTTCATTTACCTAAAACCATGAAATTTTATGAGTGGAGACATGCTACTTTAGGAACGATGAAAATCAAACGTATTTGAAAGATCACAAACATTCAAAAATGGCGCGCGGACGAACTGCTACACAAGATATTTATATTTATTTCAAAAGCTTTATATTAAATACGCTGAATGAACTCTGAAAGAATAAAAAAATATACACAGAACGTCTCTGGATCGAATTTAACAAATTTATGCTTACCGAAGTGGATAATAAATTTCCCGTATTTCGACCTATCAAGTGATTTCTTTTTCTTCACTTCTTGATGACTCTCGTGAGAATCTTCAGACATGACGTCATCACCTTCAGTGACCGTCTTGCTAGCAATATCATCGTCAGTCTTTACTAAGTCGCCGTCGTCGTCGGACTTTCTTGTATCAATAAATACTGATGTTCTTCCCGACAGCATTATGTAAAAACTGAAAAAGTAGTTAAATTCCAAATTAATTAATATACAAATGTAGCTTTTCTTGAAGTTCCCTATCACAAGTGTTTAGTGCGTTGATTGGTTAGTACCTCCATACCTCCGACCCCATCTATACCCACCTCTTCAATACAATATAAACTGCATATATGTACGTATATACATGTATATACTAAATATATGTATCGTTTTGTTGTTGCTGTTTTGTTTGTTTTTCTGTTGTTGTGTGCTTTTTTCAAGTAAAGGAAATTTAATTGAATCACAATTCTTATTAAATGAAATATCTGATTTGATTTTAACATATTTTATTGATAAAAATAAGACATAAACATACATGTAATCAGTTACAATCAATGAAAATGACATATTTGGCAAAAGGGTTGACCCACAAGTTCTCTCAACATTAGCAACGGGTCTTCCCTAATTCCATAAATTACAATACAAAATGTAACATATTTTACAAGAATGACTATCAGTTAGATAGAAGTAACAAAACTCACACATATATAGTACTTGGCTTAAAAAATGTTTTAGGTAAAAAAAACCAATAAAAATGAAATATCTAAAACATCATATTTTACTGTTTGAGAGAGGTACATGTGGGAGGGGTTGAGAGATGGGGAGGTGGGTTGTGACCATTCAACGCGCCAAACATCTGTGCTTCCCATGTATTCTTGTCAATGTAGTTCATTCGGTCAATGATGGTCAAGATAAAATATTTGCTGTAAAGCAGTTATCAGAATATGTAAATCTTGTTAAAATATACAAAATCATCAAGTAAAGATTGTACTTCAATAAATATTCAAAGTAACGTATGATAAACGGAGCACTTAACGCACCACTATAAGTATACACCAACGGTGCTTCACGGCGAATTCCAGCGCTTCTATTGTGCGCTGAATCTTAGAAAAATCGAGTTAGGCATTTCTCTGTTCAGATGATTTAGATCATTTCTATAAAAAAAATTGCAAAATGCAAAACTATCATAACGTGTGTATTTTATTTTCTCAATTCATAAGAGAGTAAAGTGCAAAATTCTAATACCCGTTTCGCTGAAAACAGCAGTTCACCGAATTGAATTGAATTGCTAAAAACAGCGTGTATCTTAACTTATATTTATAAATCGAAGTCATTTTACCTTTGAAGTTTTTATCGAAACTTTACTTGTATTAAGTTATTAACTACAGACTGTTTCTAGTAAAGGATCAATGTTAAAGAGTAAATACAGCAATATCTATTCATTAATTTGTGTCCGGTGCTGCAGGTGTGCACGTCTCTACATGGTGCTGCAGGTGTGCGCCTTATCTTAAGTATTTTTTGTACGTAAGTGTTATCATTTTTAAGCATTAGAAAAACAATTGACAAAAAATCATCTTATGTCATCGCCATTTTACATATTAAAGCAAAGAACTCTATCAAATTGTAGGGGATGAAAGGTCAAGATGACTGCCAGTCAGGAACAAAAAATATTTTAATTATTATTCTTTAAAGCAAGGATTTATTTAAAGAGTACACGAGTTGTGCTAATTTCTTACATGCTTTTCTATTGTCTTTAATGTTGATATTAGTGTTCTATTCTAATAAGTCCATTCAGGTCTTCTTTTAGATTTAATTTTTGAACTCGTTGCGTTTGATATCGTAATATTTTTAGTTCGATTGTATTGGAAGCTATAAGCTTAGTGAAACACTCTCGAATCCGTTCCTGGAACCAACCAGTACTAAGCAATGAATGTAAAGTTTCTTGTTCAAGGTAACAACGGCTCGCCCCTGACAGGGTTTGAACCCAGGCGGTCAGCAATTCTTAGATTAGGCCGACGCGTTAAGCACTCGGCCTCGCCGCCACTCACTTTTTTGCCTTGCCAACGAATGTTGTGTCTTCTAACCATTTCGCGTTTTCATATACATGCACAATGTAAATTCAAATTACTGTTGTTACACATCAGCTCTGGTGTTTTGATATCTCCGGATATTTAATCATATAATTCTACCGATATTTGACAATAAAGCTGATTTTATATAGCGATTAATAGAGATAGAAAAAATCAAATTCTTATTAAACTTTGAATGCTGGACTACAATCACTTGAACCTTCTATTGACTTTCATTGTAAAGTTATAATATGCGGATTTACTTTCCTTTCTTTATTTGATCAAGGTTGACAAATGACAATGACTTAATGCTTTAATAAAAAAGGCAATAAAACGAGCATAACAATGCCAGATGGCCAAACAAGATCATATTTATATTGAATCTAATGAAAACAAACTGACAGAACGGAAAAAAAGTTTCCATTCGATGACATTTTGGGTTAAGTTTATATCAATACTATTAATAAACTTTCAATATTATATTGCACTTCAAAAGTATAAAAACTTGTGTAAAAAACTGATTGAGTGAGTGTCAAATCTGCTATTGATATCCAACTCAGTTTTAATATTCTTATAACAAACTGTTTTAATTTTTTAATAAAGTAGAACCGTGACATTCTCTATAACCGTGTCTAAAAACTATTAAATAAAGTTTTATATATTTAAACTAAAAAATGAAATATAATGTTATATGATATATGAGTTATATCACTAACTGTATATCTGATGTTTTTTTTATTTCTTCGTTTTACATAAATTACAAATAATAAAAGGTACTAAATAACAGGAAAATGTGATTATAATCATTATACTTATAGTGTATTTTCATGTTTATTTTCATATATTTTATCACGCTATGACACTCGTTCTCACGTTGGAATTATTTATATGACATATATATTCTCTGAATTTAATTAAAAATTGACCGACTAACATTAAACGAAATTGCCAAAACATAAGAAAAAGGGGGTCATTAATAACATATGTCTACAAAAATTATTGTTGATGTCGGTTTGAGCTTTACAAGCTCCATATATATAATTTCTAATATATATTAGATATTTTGTCCAAGTTGTAACACACTTGACGTTGATGATGAATACCATTCATTCTTTATGTTTATGTAGGCCATTTTACGCTTCGATATTTCCATAGAAACGGAAATAATAGCATTTCGCGCATGAGCATTCTTCGTAGGGCAAAAAAGCAATAACGACAGAAAAGATTTGATCAGTATTCAACAACTTAATTAACAATTAACAATATTCTAAATTATTAACTACAAAAAAAGAATGTATTATTTTTGATAAGTTACCTACGCAATGGTGAATTTAAGTAATTAACATGAACATGTTTACATTTACGCATTAAATCAGTCTTCCATATTTGAAAGACACTAAATGATATCTAGATTAAGCATAGTCTTTAACAAGACGATATGCGTATAGGTGTGAAAATAATTCTATTCGGGTCGGTTCTATTTTAATATTCATGAAGATGACGCCAGTTTTTTAAATTATTTTATATTAGCTACTGCACAAATTCACAACTTAGTAACTGATAAAATAAATCCTTTTTATCGACGAACTTTGTTTGTTTTGAAATTAAAAATATCTAAAATATCTAAATATTGCATTAAAGTTTTAATACAACTTTGAGGATTGGTCTAAACCTTATTCTAAGAGTAATAAATAAATGTTTGAAAATTTAATTAAAAATGTGATATCTATACTTTTGTTTAAGTAGCCAAATGATTATTCTGAGCTAGACAGCATAAAGCATTTTAGCACTTGAAATGTTTAAATATTAATACCTGCATTTTTCGTTTACAGTGTTTGAATATATACAAATATTTATCACAACGTATACATGCACTAAATACACCGATATTAAGTAGAGGGTGTGGTGAAGTATGGTGTCTAATGAAGGCATTTTTCTCTAGTTTTTAATTAATTTGTGAAAAAGAAATAAAGTGTTAAAACCTGTAAAAATGATATTGAAGAAAGACTGATTTATTCTTACACTAAACTTTCTTTACTGTGGAGAAGTAGAGAATGTCTTGCAAAGAACATTGTAACATTGATAAATATTAAAACCAACTGGTGATTAGCCGATTATTACATGAATGATCATCCATTTAGTTTTAGAAATTTCATTGAAGAAAAAGTAATTGGAAAATGCCAGCATATAAAAGGATATACATGTATATAAAAGCAACGAGCGCCATTTCCGCTAGCATTCGAAAGGTTTTGTTTTATATTTGATATGTCTTTGTAAGTTCTCAGGTTTAACTCTTAATTTTTTTAATTGTATTTTCTGTATTGTATTGTATTGTATTGTGTTGTTGTGTTGTGTTGTGTTGTGTTGCGTTATGTTGTGTTGTGTTGTCTTATCGTATCGTATCGTATCGTATCGTATCGTATCGTATTGTATCGTATATTGTATTGTATTGTAATATTCTAGCAGTAAACACCTCGTATGCTATCATATCTATGTTCTTTATTCACAAGACATTATCAACTTATTAACCCGGTTTCTCTAACAACGTTTTTGAATAACAAACAAAAATCAACAATTCATGCCTTACTTGTTATGAAAATAAATACAAGATGAAAAAATTGTGTATCTCACCTGAAGGAGAAATTTCCAAAGATCTATAAGCGTTACACGTTAATACGCTGCTAAGATATCCGTAAGCAGTGAAAATTTACTGATAGTAACTAATCAAAACACGTTAACATCCTTAAATGGCAACCATATGTTTTATCATTTTACAACACAAAAAGACCGCCACAGCATTTTGATTAAACAGCTACACTAAACCACACACAAGGTGTAATCTAAATTCCTTTAATTGATATAAAATGATGGTCCGAATGAACAGTAAATATATCTTTCAATCGGTTTAACTATTGTTGTTTCGCCACTTAAATGATAAATGGAAATGGCGCGTGCTATTGTGAAATTATATAAATAAAATACTTTTGAAAAACATCCCCTTTTAAACAGCTTTAACTCTTTAACAAAAACCATTCAACTGTTGGAGAATTGTTACAAGGGTTATCGGTAATTTCTTTTCCCTATACGCAAAATTTAATGGTTTAAATATACAAGGCCATGCCCGAATTAGACACGATCATTTTTTCATAAACCACACTGTATGAAAATGATAATGAAGAGTACATGCGTCGAATTCTGAGGGTAAGCAACGAAGGAATTGTTTTTAAGCAGATCATTAAAGAAAACACGGACATGTGCATCCCCCCCCCCCCCCCAAAAAAAAAAAAAAAAAAAGAAAAAAGTTTTTTTCTTCCATAGCAAAATAAGAAACCTTTTGCAGTTTTACCAGAAAAAAAACACCACACTGCAACATGTTCGAGCCCCGTTTTAGGATCATTCGCCTCAGAATAATAAGTGTATCATACAAAAATGAATGGGATAATGGGATTTTCTAATATTTCTATCCATTTGCAATTATTTGCCCTCAATTCATTTTTAACTATGTATTTAACAAACAATACATTAATTTTTAGTTATATAAACAGCGGGGATCGGAATATAAAATCCTTATTTAAACATACCATTACAAAACAAATAGAAATAGACACATCCTTGCGGATTAAAGAGATATTTTATCCTTTACGCGTTTTAATTTCGATCATACATAAGTATTGATCGGACACATGGCTATTTAGTCCGTATGTAAGAAGAATTATTAATCATGGCACGCACGTGATATATTATATCCAGATTAATGCATCCGTAACCTACCCAAACACCTCGCCGATGGCCCATTGTCATTCTTATAAGTGTGACATAAACAGCCAAAAGTTGCGATTTCTTTGCAACTTCTTCGCAATTTCTTCGCAACCCCTCAAATAGAGGGTCAAGGCTATATAGGGAATCAATGTAATGTTTTAATACACGACAACGATGCTTTCGTTCAGAGGTTTTTTTAATTTTTAACAATAGTACAATTGTCGACTGTAAGGCAAAAAATAAAGAACAAATAGAATATGTCCTCATGAAATACATGTTCAAGGGGTTAAAACGTAATGACGGACTTTGACATTCTGTCGTGAATGCTGCATCCCTCCAGATGAGCCTTAACATTTCAAGAAAAGCAACCTTAAGAATAAGATTTTATGAAAAGTAAGAAAAACAAAACAACAACAACAAAAATTCATGAAATAATTTTCATGTTATATGCAATTAATGACTGATTTTGCAGTATTTATCACCATATTTCTACAACGTGACTAACGCAGTGAGGGCTTTTTTGTGCATATTTTGACTTATTTTCTATTTGGTAATTCTTGTAGATTTTAAATGCCGTTTGCTTTGTATAAATTACTTGTTCATTTGACAATATTTTATTTACTATATAATACAATATAAAATGTTCATGAACATTATAGTATGGATCTCGAGACATGCTGCTTTTAATTAATCACTTATTAGATATTATTTATGATATATTATTTCAGAAAAATGAACGGAAGTTACAAACAGTACAAGAACAAAAAAATAATATTAAAATAGTAACAATATCAAGATACCTTACAAGGGAAAGCACTTCTGGCTAGAATATGATAAATGTCAGGTATATTTACTTCCCTTCAATACAGGAATATTATGTATATTGGTTTAGTAATAATTTTCCTTTTTCGAGATTTTCTAGGGAATTTTACTACATGTATAATTTATAGTTAACAAATGTTTGTAAACCAACTTTGAAGATATTATCTAAAATGATGCTTTTTTACTAGAAAATTGACAACATACTGTTGCTCGCTTTGATAGAGCAAAGATTTTTTTAAGTTTAAAAATTTCGCATTTACCCTCTGAACATCTGCGCACTCTTTCTTGTGATTTTTGCTGTATGTTTTCATAGGCTATCATGCGCAGTGTTAATATGACATATATAAATTTATTATACATGTGTAGCTACATATGATAGTATTATATCAAACTGATCACTACGATATTATTACACCTCATACCTCATGTTTTTATATTTTGCCTTTTTTATTCCTTGGTTCTATATATTTTTTTTTCATATACTGATTTATTTAAAGATATTATTCTTTTTTTTACGAAGAACTTTCTGTCGTATCATTTTGTTGACTTATCCTGTCAAAATGGCCTAGTGGTTGAGAGTATGTATCACTGTTCCATCATAATATGCAATCAGCTTTTGTTACTACTATACATGTACATAAAAATAGTAGACTGACCAATTTAGTGCAAAATCTGTTACTAAAAAGTCGAAGAGATAAAAAAAAGATTTCACATGTAGTTACGTTGAATAGTCTAATAATATTCATTTCGAAACAATAAATGATATTAGTACACGCCCCACAGTAATAAAATAATTTGAATGCTATGGTCCTTAAAGATACATGAGTGGCATTTTCCCAAAATGAAATGAAATCATTCATACATTTGCATAATGAATACTTGACCAAAACAACCCTTTGAACAAGACCTTCAGGTAGACAAGACTAAACTTGACCTTAATTCATAAATGACCTTGACCTTTCAATGTTTAATGTCTAAATTTTGCTTAATTTTTGCTATAAGGGGCTATAACCTTTTTTAAAAATGGATTGTCTTTAAACTTGAACACAACAATCTTTTATGATAGCTCTTAAAGTAATCAGACAGATCTTGACCTTCACTCATAAATGACCTTGACCTTGAAGGTCAAATTGTTGACATTTTCTTTTTTTTTGCTGTAAATTGCTATAACTTTTTTATTTATGAATGGATTGACACATCATGTATATCAAACTCAAAATGACCTTGGCAAATTATGACCTTGACCTTGAAGGTTAAGTAATTGAATTTTCACTGATTTTTGCTATAATTTACTGTAACTTGGTAATTAATCCATTGATCATCTATCTATCTCTGGATACTGCCAACCCCTCTTACGAGTGTTAAAGGCAGGTATACATTGTATACATTTAAGAAACAGCTTTAAGATACAAGGGAATCCGGGAACCAGTCCCTAGCTCTTATTGAATAGACCCCTTGGTTCTTTTACATGCCCAGTGTATAGCACTGATACATGCGAGGATTACCTGGATTTCTTACCAGTACACCTCTATGTAGGTGGGAAACACTGAAAGTGTCTCTGAAAAATCCCAAGGGTGTAACCCAGGATCGAACCCGGGACCTCAGGAGTGATAGACAGTGGTTTAACCAACTGAGCTATCGCGCCACCACATATTCATATTCATATTTGGACGAAACAACTTTTTGGTCGAGACATTCTTAAAGGTTGAACTGACCTTGACCTGAGCTTTAAATGACATTGACAATCAAGGCCAAATTATTGAATTTCGGTCATAGATTCTCATAATTTTGTTATTAACGTCGGATTTGATTTATACTTGGGCACAATAACATTTTCTACCAAACAAACATATTAAATAAGTCAGATGTGACATTGACCTATAAATGAGCCGCGTCACGACAAAACCACCGTAATGGGTTTGCGTAACTTTGCGACCAGCATGGATCCAGACCAGCCTGTGCATCCGTGCAGTATGATCAGGATCCATGCTGTTCGCTTACAAACTCTATAACAAGTAGAGGAACCGATAGCGAACAGCATGAATCCTGATCAGACTGCGCGGATGCGCAGGCTGGTCTTGATCTATGCTGGTCGCAAACCAATTATGTTGGTTTTGTCGTGACACGGCTCAAATGACCTTAACCTAGATTTTCCTTTCTCCGAAACATATTGTACCACAGAGTCTGAATTGCTTGATTCAGAAAATATCTTAAAGAACAAGATCAGAGCATTGTGACTTAGATCAATATCTACGTGCATAATAATTAGATCTATTTTATTAAAATTGTGTGTCAACAATAAAGACATAGGTTTGCTGAATGTAAAGGACTTGAAGGAATATAAACATACCAGTCTCCACGATCACCTTGTACAACTATGACATCATCTTTCACAGCACGTCTGTAATTACAGTTCTTTATAACATCTTCAAGTACATCTGAAACATATAAACATACTTATTGTCAATAAACTTAGTGTCAGTTAGACAGTTACAAACATGAGTAGTGCACTTGATGTGTTCACTCACTAGCAGACTCAGTGTAGCAATACCACGTGACATTGACGTCATTTTCGACATCATTTCCAAGACAAATATTTGTCCTGGAAATGATGTCGAAAATGACGTCAATGTCATTATATGTTGCTCGATTCGGAAAAGAAAATAGCCGTAAATATTTTATTTCTGTACCAATTTCTTTAGGATATGCACTAGTCTACGGGGAAAAATATAAGCTTTCCACAGAATATTGGATCTTCGTCAGTTTATAAGCCGTTTTATCAAACACTTTGCATAACCTTGGAAGTTGCTTGTATTAGAGCGGGCTTCAGTTGCAAGCTATTTCGTTTTCTGGCGTTATTTGGTCTACGCCAGGATTAAAAAGTCAGGTTTACATCAACCGGGAGTACAGACAGCAAAATCCTACCTTAATATGTTTATATGTTTATTACTTATGGCGTAAATCTTGCCTTTTTCTTCCGTTCTCTTTCTATAATTATGTTAACCATGAAAAACATTTTATTTACTATACGATTTAAATCTACATAAACACAAATGAATATTAAATGATTTTTACTCGCTGCGCTATAAGTGATTTTAAAAGTCGTAAAATTGTTGTCTGTATTTGTAAAGAAATTGATTTGCTCTTTAATAATTGTTCTTTCACGGTAATGATTATGAAAAATCTTTGAGTGTCATGTAGCAATACTAAACGTGGAATATTCAAATTAGAGAGAAAACAGAAACCCTAAATATCGCCCAAAACGGCAAAATTGAAAATGTTGCAGGCTCGGTTTGACTTAGCTAGCCTGTCCAATGAACGTGCACATTCAGGAAAAGGGTTACGCCTCAACGCGGCAATTTTAATCTTTTGTACGTATTTATTAATATATAATATATATACTTGGTAAAGAACCTGTAGCAATGTTTTAGTATGATAGATTCAGCTTTAAAACACAATGGCACTCGTTGATAAAAAAATACTTTTACATCCTGTTTTCATATCCACGGTAACCTTTTTTCGTGAACTGGATATATAATATAATAACTTCGTTCACTTTAGAACACTAAACACTATTTATTTTATTATTGCATTTATAAATTTCTGTTGATAAACTGCATATCCGACAAATTTAGTTAATTATATCAGTCAACCCAGCTTTATCAGAGAGCTCACCAATACAAATTGTAAAGAGAGGAAGGGAACGGAATATTTATGCTTTGAAAACATTTAAATCGAGTAGAATTTTTAACAATAATGTCTCACTTTCAACTGAATAAAAACGATAGCGCTATTTGGGACTATTTCTTATCGATGTGGTCATTGGCTGTAAATGCATGGATAACTGCACGCGGCATGACCTGCAGATGTCCTCAACAGGATTTTTGTAGCATTTTAAGATTTAAAAAAGGACCACATATTAAAATCTAAAACATGATAAACATAATGCATATGCCAAATAAGTGAATTATCTGATATGTAAATAAAGAAGTAAGTCATTTGACAGTTGAAGGATAAAAATGATTATACTCTTCAAATGTAATCGTAATTTTACTTAGCTTATGTTAGCTATCAATTATTCAATGGACGCATCAGTGTCATATGGACCCCAGTCATAGATCTTGCCGGTGTTGCTAATATTACAGATGTTAATGTAAATATTTATATAATTATTGATAATTATTGTTATTTCCGTCTTTTTGAATGTTTTGTTTCAAGAAATTTGACTGTGATCGGTGGCTGTTGGTTTGTAAAATCATTTATCTGTTTACTATTTTCTACTTTGTTTGCTCCACATGGCGTCCATTCTCCTTCTTTATTGGCTATTTTGGGCCTTTTTGATAAATATGGAATCATAAGTAATGCAACTAAGTAACAATACTATCAGGTTTACACGGCAAAGTCCCAAGTTATATGTAATGATATTTAAAATTGTTCTACACAAAGAACAAAATCTGACTGATGATGAAAGTGCTTATAGTTTAATAAGCATAAAATGTCAACGTCATGTTAATGCGCGTGACAATTAGATATATGATTTTAATACCGATACATGTGCATAGTACTTCAAATTGTGATTTCGTTTATCAAACTCTATAGAAATTTATAATACAGCAATTCCAGAAAAATATTTACCTTTTAAAAGGCTCTATTTTGAGGACAGAAGAACCTATTCGTCTCATTCACGAGTGTCACTGTTAAACTTTGTCAGTTACTCTTTACAAAAAATAGACCAAAAATACCTTAAGCTTTACAACACTCGCGTTAAAGTGTAACCCTTTCCGTGGCATACAAAAGGTTTTTTTTATATTTTAACTCTTTCTCTCACTGAGAGCACATATATTTCTTATCAATTTCGCCAGTGTGAAATAGAATAAAGCACATTTTACTACATAGGATAAGATGAGCATTGAGCAATACTTTAAACATCTTCAAAACGAAACCAAAATATAATTTTTGACAGGACTAAATCTACGTACGTGATTTGACATGCACTATTGCGATACAAGTAAGTGTTATTGCTTTAAGGAGCAATTAGTTTTTTCACAATCTCTCTGTGAAAGATCAACAATGAAAAACTAAATTGTAGAAAGAGAACGGTAGGCATGATGCTTCGTATTTGCAACGGATTCAAAAATCTGCTTTAAACTGTAGTCCTTTTTTTCGACTTGGAACTGGTGCAATAATTGACAATTGAAGAAAAATGTGAGATTTATGTCATTCATAATAAAAATATGAACATATTTAGGTTTTGCCTTCCGTACTCCCGGTTGACGTAAACCTGACTTTTTAATAATGGCGTAGACCAGATAACGCCAGAAAACGAAATAGCTTGCAACTGAAGCCCGCTCTAAAACAAGCAACTTCCAATGTTATGCAAAGTGTTTGATAAAACGGCTTATAAACTGACGAAGATCCAATATTCTGTGGAAAGCTTATATTTTCCCCCGTAGATTGGTGCATATCCCAAAGAAATTGGTACAGAAATAAAATATTTTCGGCTTTTTTCTTTTCCGAATCGAGCAATATTTGTCTTAGATGATGCCGAAAATGACGTCAATGTCACGTGGTATTGCTACACTGAGACTGGAAATCATATAACACGGGGGAGAATCACGTTACCCAAACAAACAAGATGGCGGATGCAGCCAAAAAGGAGGTTTTTCCCTTTTTTCGCTGAAAGTCGTGATGTTCTGATGTCAAAGTACATATAACAACCTTCTCCACAATTTTCCTGACACACAGGATTTTATTTCATGATTTTTTCACCCCGTACTTCATCTGAAATGCGCGTCACCAGATTCGAAGCGGGAGAATTTTCCACCGGTTTGATCGTGGTAACGTACGGCTTTTTCTCTCAAATTCACTGTTTCGTTTACATATATGTATATTAACTGAAACCACTGACTTTAAAAAGTTGTAATATGTCGTCATCTAAGCATTCATGCCCATTCTGGCTAGAATAACCGCTGAAAATATTAATATCGGGGCATTTTCTGGAAATGATAACGTATGGCGCACAAAATATCAATGATAACGTACGGCGCATTTTTTTCTGATTAATTGATTTTCTTTATAATAGAAAAGTTATGTTTACAAGACATAAGAGGATGTGTAGAACCAAATTAAGAAACTGAAATAAATAATATTAGTGTCCAGCTTTATTTGTCATCCAATGAAAGCGTTGTATTTCTTAAATTTTTTTTTTGTAAATTTTCATAGAAGAACAAAAGTCGATGATATATCATAGTCCGTTCATACCAGCCTTTTATTCATAGAACCGCGTTTGTGCAAATGGACAGGTATATTGACGAAATAAAGTTAATATTAATGAAGCCAAATAAAGCTTGACACTAAGTATGTTTGTATTCATCTGTAGCTGTTCTACGGAAATAAGAATATTCTCCCCGTCGAAGTTTCTAATTTCTGTAGAACAACACGGGTGGACACTTAATATACTTCGTAAAAACTAGTTTAAGAGTTTAATATTTTTTAAAACCGTTCTTTCATAAAGATAATGACGTCATCTAAGCGCATGAGCGGTCTGGTATTAAAGGTTTCAGACGAGGTTTCCGGCATGGATAAAAACATCGAAATCCAAATACGATTTGAAACTTTATAATTAACACTAGAAATTAGCAAATTCCAATGTCACTCTTTTATTGCTGACACATGCTATACTTTTTTTAAAGAAATTATTGTTTTTGTTGGGGTGTTTGTGTGTTTGTGAGAAAAAAAACCCGCCAAAAACGGCAAATTCTTGCATGCAATTGTAATGATCAAATTATGACCTTCTATGAATTCCGCAATAGATGCGAAGGGACCTTCATTTTTTAGGATATGTGTATAAACATACGGTAATTGCGTTTATGTGTTAAAAATCGATTAATGTACAACAATTTTGCATTAATGGTTCATGTAATGTATGTTTTTTGTATGTATGTACATGTATATGTGTGTATGTATATGTATATACAAGAGACCTATAAGTTACTGGTTTAAAGATCAATTTTGAAAATGTTCATTATGTAACTCCTTAAGAAAATTTCGGCTGGTATTTACTTTATCAATCCAAATTGACCTTCTCCAAGCCTTTTCATGATTTTTGATATTATGTTTATATGAACTGTTCGTTATTGTGCATGTTTTATGTCCTCAACGGCTTTAAAGCCTATTGGAATGAAATAAAATGTCTACTGTCTTCAATTATAATAAAACCTGTAAGGCTACGTATGTCGCGTAAATATATCTGACGTCATAGTGGCACAACGTCACGCTAAATGGTAGCGTTTCAATATTAACCGTCCGTCAAATAAACAGAAAATTTCTTATTTACTAAATTCATTTAAGTTTTTCGCATAACATTATTTTCTAACTCATTCAATAAATTCATAATAGAACCTATACTCATTCATTTTTCTCTGTTATGTATTTTTCT